AAAGACAAGCTGCGAAATGCGATTTTGGTGATCAACTTCATGTACAGCTGAGAGATCGATTAATTGCTGGAATTAACATACCAGGTCTGGAAAAGGAGCTTTTAAGAATGCCGAACTGTTCTTTTCAAGATGCTAGAACTGCATGTATTAACTACGAAGCAGTGAATGAACTTGATATTCAATCGATGAAAATTCTAATACTTTGCTTAGTCGTCATGATGAAATACAATCTCAGGGTCGATCAATTTTGCGTTCGTTTAATCGTGATTTCTATTCTCGTGGAAATATGAAAGGTGGTTTAACAAGGCAAACAGCAAAGGTGAGAATAAGTTTGGTAAATGCTTATCTTGTGGCAAATTTCATTGTCGTAATTCACGTGCATTTCGTAATGCTAAATGTTTTAAATGTGGCAAGATAGGACACATTCAGTCAGTGTGCAAAACTACTGTTCACTTTGCTTCAAGTATTACTAAGTCTGGTAACTTAGATCCCGATAATTCTGCTGTTTCTAATGATCATTTATCTTTATCCACCACTTCAAAAGAGAATGTTCATATTCAAAAGCGATTATATACATCCCTTGGTTCATTTCATGACTTTATTGTGGACACAGGTTGTATAGAGTCCATTATTTCATTCAAGAACTTGAAATCTTTAGATCCTAATGTTGTGGTAAAACCCACTGAGGTCTCAATACTGGGGATTACTGGACACAGACTGCCTATACGAAGATGTTGTAAATTGCTAATAAGAAATGATAATTCTTCATACGTACCTTGTGAATTTTTAGTTAGTGAAACAGGACTGTCCATACTGGGTTTAAAAAATCTGAAAAGGCTTAAAGTGGAATCGTCTCTACTAGTTTCTACAGAGAATTCTGATGCTTTACTCAAGGATTTGATAGCTGTGTGTGCTAAGTGTAGTGGAGGTATGAAAATTCAGCCCATAAAACTTCAAGTACAGGGTGATCCAGTCTTTCTTAAAAGACGAATAATTCCTTATGGTCTTCGAGAAGCAGTACATAAGCCACTGAACGATTTGTGTGCGAAAGGTATACTTGAACCAGTTCAGTCCTCAGCATGGGGTACTCTTATTGTTACGCCATTGAAGTCGGATGGCAAGACCCCTAGAATATGCGGTGATTACAGATTAACACTGAACTCCCGTTTGTTGAAGCAAACATGCACGACGATGGAGGCTGAAGATATTCTAAATCGACTTCATGGTTCTAAAGTGTTATCGAAAGTTGACTTGAAAGATGCTTATCTTCAAATCCCTTTAGATCAATCTTCATCTATCTTGACAACAATTAACACCCCTTTTGGTCTGTTCAAATACAACTTCCTTCCATTTGGTCTTAGTTGTTCTCCAGCCATATTTTAAGAGGTCATGAATAAGATAGTCAGCGATATTGAAGGTGTTGAAGTTTATCAAGATGATCTCATTGTTCATGGTGCTGATAAAGTAGTTCATGACCAGACTTATTGCTTTATTGCGTCGTTTGATTGAAAAGAATATAACAGTGAATCCAAATAAATGTTCATTTAGTGTATCCAGTTTTGAATGCCTTGGATACCTAGTTGATGGTAATGGTTTTAGACCAGATATGAAACGACTAGCCCCACTGACAAATGCACCGTCTCCAAAAAATATCACAGAATTACGTTCACTAGCGGGTGCTCTTCAGTACTATTCTCGTTTTATTCCTAATTTTTCTTGTCGTGCCAACTGTTTATTTAATATTTTGACATCCAATTCATTCAAATGGGGTGAAGAACAAGAGTCATGCCTACGAAGTCTGCTAAAGTTTCTTCAAAGTGATGCTGTTCTTCGAACTTACTCACCCAGTGTACATTCTGTACTTATTACTGATGCATCACCTGTGGGTATTGGTGCAGTTTTGGAACAGGTAGGTAGGCCAGTTATATGTGTTTCACGCAAACTTTCTGTTTATGAACAAGGTTATTCACAAACGCAGAGAAAAGCGTTAGCTGTGTTTTGATCTGTTAAAAGACTTCATAAATATTTATTTGGAAAGAAGCTTACCATTGTTACTGATCATGAAGCTTTAAAGTTCATTTATCATCCTGACAAATCCTTAGCACGTTCCTCAGCTGCTATGGTTCAACGATGGAGTATTGCTATGAGTGCTTATGACTATACGATTCAGCACAGGAGTGCAAAACAAATTCAACACGTTGACTACATTTCTCGACAACCATTACAAGATAGACCTGTTAATACTTCAGACTGCTTGTTAGTGCAACCTTTACCGGTGAGACGTCCAGATCTCATTAGAGAAACTCGTAGATACTTTGGATGTATACTCAGTGCTATACGGAAGGGTTGAAATGCTAATCTGAAACGCAGATTTCCTGTCTATTATTCAAAGTGAGACGAGTTATCTACTACTCCTGACGGTATTTTGTGTTTAAATGATCGTGTTGTTATTCCTCCTTCATTACGTAAAGCTGTCCTTGATGATCTTCATAGTGGACATCTAGGTGTTGAGAAAATGAAGTCCTTGGCAAGACTTACATGTTGGTGGCCAGAGATAAATGCAGATATATGTCGTACAGCAAACAATTGTGAGAAATGTCATAAGCTAAAAAGTCTGCCTTCGGAGTGGACTCCATGGCCAGTATCGTCTGAGGCGTGGCAGTGAATTCGTGCAGACTACTATGGTCCATTTCTTGGCAATTACTATGCACTTGTAGTTATTGATTCTTTTTCTAAGTGGCCTGAAGTTTTTTCACAACTTCACCAAATTCTGACTTCACAATCCAAGCATTAAGGAAGGTGTTTAGTCGAGAAGGAGTTCCCATGGTGTTGGTGACTGATGATGGCTCTCATTTTGCTGCGGATGCAGTCACTAATTGGTTGAATGGTATAGGGTGCAGACATCTGTTTACGGCTCCCAGGCACCCTTGTTCTAATGGTCAGGCAGAAAATTTCGTAAGAACATTGAAAATTGCTATTGATTCTATTGCTGCGTCGACATTTAATGAACTGGAGAGGGGAGTAGATACATTTCTACTTCAATATAGAAATGCTAAGCATTCTGTGACGAAAGAGACTCCATCAAAGCTATTAAAAAAAGAATTCTCCGTTCGAATATGAGGTGTTTGGAGTCTGCAGAAGTTACGTATTGTCGTGGGAATGATCTTTGACCAGCCACGGTGATCGTGGTGAAGAACGTTGGAAAATCTATGGTGCGAATTCTGGATATCAATGACTTGACTATACATAAAAGACATGTTGATCAAATACAATACCAGAATCCAGATAATACAGAGTCTACATCCAATACACCGTCGGACAGATGTAAGATGAACTTAAGAAGAAGACGAACAATTGATTACAGACACTTACACTCCAATTCGAGCTGTGGCGGATGTGATGTTTAAATAAATCAATGAGTTCTTTGTATCGATGTCTGTTGTAATTTTGAATTGCAAATACAATACATTCGCTTGTGCTCCTCTTGTACTTCTTGATTAAATTGCGTTATTCCTGGGATTACTAGTTTATACTACAATTCAAATACTTCTAATTATCATAGTAGTCTAGACTGATTTGGTTTCAGATGAGCTAGATTTCCTAGTCTATACACCTTTAGCAAGGTGACTCCGGGGATGTTTTTGGGCATAACTTGGTTGAGTAGTTGTTTTATCAACACAAGATCATGCTCAAAACGAGCTTTCGGTTCTAAGCTGTCACTCTGCTTGACTCTATGAAGAATGACTGATCTGTTGCTGTGATCAGACCTCGGCTTGTCGACCCTTTTGGTGGGGGTATGATTTCCTTTTACGTCATTTTGGCGTTTTTTTCTAACGACCCGTACCCAATCGCCAACGTTCTTTGGAGTGGTAACCACAGTCGCGTCAGGCGTACTGTGGGATTCCGGAAGGTTCAGGACGACTTGGGAGATTGGGTCATCTTTCGCGCTGGAAACCGATCGAGCCTTGCGGTTTCGGCTTCCGGAAGTTCCCTTCTGAGTACCATTTTTGATACGAGGGACAGAAGAGACTTTTTTGCGCGAGTTTCTGGTTGTAACAGTCCTCTTTGGAGGATGTTCTTCCTCCTTAGTAGAGTGTGGGTCGGCAGTTTTTGGACTCACTTGGGCCTGCCTTGTGTCAATCTGCGTGTCGACAGATTGAGTTCTGACTGATGTATCTCGACCGCGCTTGCCGAGACACTTTTTTGCGGCATTTACTATTGAGATGGCCTCGGTTAACAGGCTATTTGCATCCAAACAGCACTGTTGACATAGCCATACGCACCCATTTTTAATGAACCGCTTGAAAGCTGCAGGTGTTAGATTCGTGCAAACATCGTGGTACCAACCTTTGCACTCATCGCACTGCATGCCGCTATCAACAGGATATCAACATCCTGGGCGGTGGCAAATGCTTTTGTTGCATCTTCCAGTCATTTTAGGATGCGAAAGTGAGTGTTGACTACAAGTAGAAAAAAAACTATAAATAGTTAGGACCAAAGTACTAACAGACACAATAGAAAAACAAAGGTACTCTGGAGTACCTTCGATAAAACTATTTAGGATACCAAAAATGATAATCTAATAGAATACTTTAACTGAAATAAATTCAATCAAAGTGTAAAAACAGTAGTCTAGATACGTTAATAACGATCAAAACAGTAGAATTTACTCAACGAGGAAAAATACCACAGTCCTTTTTAAGTAGCGCGCTTTTTGTTGACTATTTACGAGGGTAAAACTGAAACGGTAAAGTAATTTGCCGAAAGTAAAGCTCAGGACAGATTCTTTGGGTCAAAAATGGTACTTTTTTGCGTAAGAACACATAAATGTTTGAGCAACACGAATCACGTTAGTAATGAATTTCCCGTTCGTAAATTACCATCCCAGAGATAAGACTGAAGCGCACTTTTGGAAAATTTGACAGTAAAACCTTACATTTTCCTCCTGTTTTTCTTATAGCTTCTTCTAATACGCCCACGAGCATTTGAACCGTTTAGAGCTGGATTTGAAGAAAGGTCAGTCCGTAGGTCATGTACCGAAATTACGGCCTGGCACAAACTCCGTTTATTGATAAGTTAGAAGTAAGTATGGATGCCATCTTGTGTTGAAATTAAGACCCTTAATCAAGCAACAATTCCAGAAATACCTGTGTACAAACCTACGGTTGCAGAATTCGAGGACTTCAGCAAATGTATTTCCATGATAGAGTCCCTCGGTGCTCATCATGTAGGACTTTGTAAAGTAATACCACCGTCAAATTGGGTTGGGCGTTGCAAAGGTTATGATGATATTGATGAGCGTTTAGTGGAAAAACCCATTTGTCAAAGCACATATGGTGGACGTGGTATATATTTTCAGGTCTGTCTTATTACTTTCCCCAACGATGAGTGTAGGATATTTCGCCCAGAAAAAGTCTCAAATTCAGTGACTTTAAAAATATCGCGTTATCAAATGTATACTGCACCCCTAAGTACAGAGACTACGATCACCTTGAAAGAAAATACTGGTCATCGATTGGCACTAGTCGTCCACTGTATGGGGCTAACGTCAATGGAACTTTGATGGATAGTGACCAGCATATTTGGAACATCTCAAAACTAGACTCAGTACTAAGTCGGGTTTTTGAAGAAGAGGGTGTACAGATACCAGGTGTGAATACTCCATATTTGTATTATGGAATGTGGCGATCTACGTTTCCGTGGCATGTTGAAGATGTAGATTTGTACTCTATAAACTACCTGCATTACGGTTTTCCAAAATGCTGGTACGTCATACCTCCGGCTTTTGCGCGTAAATTTGAATCCTTTGTTTCCGGTACGGATTTTTTAAAACTAACTGTTTTAAAGAATATTTTAGGTCGGAATTCTTGAAATGTGATTGTTTTTTAAGGCATAAATGCGTTTTAATTAGTCCTACAGTTCTTTCCCAGTCTGGAATCCCAACTAAAAAAGTAAGATACATTTTCGATCTCATGTATTCCTAGATTTTACAACACGAAGGTGAATTTATGATAACTTTTCCTTATGCTTATCATTCCGGTTTCAATATGGGTTTAAACATTGCTGAATCAACAAATTTCGCACTTACTAGGTGGATAGAGTACGGGAAACATGCGAAAATATGTACCTGTTGGGATGATACAGTTAAAATATGCATGGATCCTTTTGTGCAAAGATTTCAGCCCGAGTTATTTAATGATTGGAAAAATGGAAAGAACCTACCACCACATCCTCTCGACGAATATCTGCCAAGAGAATCAAGTCATCATGTCGAGAGCACACCCATGTGTCGAGGTTAGTTTACTGAAGATTATCTAGCCTTTAGACAGTGCCAAGGATATATCGGGTATCGAGAACAATGAGGTTACGGTCAAAGGTCCTTCTCTTTTTAAACCTTACTCTTCTGATTCACCGCCTCCCAAAGTTGGCGATCTAAACTTTATTGATTTGCGGTATTCATCAAAACGTAGGTTGTTCTGGTTGAATTTTAATATCTCTACTGCTTTATTTTGTTGTATGTATTTAATATCTTTCAAATAGGTTTTACAATATTCTAACTATATTTATTCGTTAATTTCGACTGTGAATAGCATATATTATGAACACCATGAGTTATGTGACACACAGTGGTGTAACACGGGTATAGTATTATTGGAAAACCGAGAAATCTTAACGAATATAAAGAAGATAGTTAAAATATTACCTCACCAAAAATGAATTTTTTCTCATATATATATATATATATATATATATATATATATATATATATCACGCTGCATCACTGGTTGACCATCGTTCTACCAATTATTTTAAAGGTTGAAATGTTTTGAGGGCCCCCGATTACTTAATCAGAATAGTTACTTTAGCCACAAATATCTTAGATTTACTTAGTTACTTACTTGGTAGTTTGTAGGGTCAGTATCAATATTTTATACTGGTTGCTGTTTGATAGTTACTAAACCAGCTGGAGTACTTAAAATCTTCAAATCAAACTTCCTGCCACATATTTTGAACAGTTGATAATGAGTCACATTCTTTAGTGATATTCCCATCGAAAATCAGGTATTTGGGGTTATTATCTCAAATGGGTTCATAGCCCCCAAATGCCCTGGTAAGGCTGAGAGTGGGGAGAGTTTGCTCTCCCTCTCGAAATGCTCTCATATGGCCACGCGAATATATAGCCTCTGCCAGGGAAGTCCTACTCACTGCCTTCCCGTGGCACCGGTGTTGTTCACAAAAGTGAGAGGACGAAAAGTGAGTGTCCGGCGTTTTAACCGGGTTGGTGGATGTGGAGGATCCACCTAGGGGAGTTGGAAAACCCTGATTCCAAACCAGTGGTCCACATGGGCTCCAGTATCCTGAAGGAACAAATGGCGTATGAACCAACTGTTGGTGACCGGCTACCATGGGACTGCATCTCCTCACGATGCTCTACTGCCTTGTGGACTAGACCTTTAGTTCAAAGGCTCCGGGTGTGGCCCCCTAAGAAACCACCTGCTTCAGTCTGGGCACCTGAGCAGTATCACAGCCCTCACACAAATCGAATGAGATTTGTGAGGCGCATATTTATCTGGTGCTTCCTTGTACCAATATTTATGTTTAAATAATTAAATAAAATAGGTTCATAAGTTTCCATGAGTAACGAGAATTGATCCCCTTTCCTACTTCATTATGCACATGATACTCGTGATCTTTTGCTAGAAGGTCATCGATCTGCATATATTTTTTGCCACTGATACCTTATTTATTATTATTAGTGTTATGTTTTTGACCTAGGCTGTAGCCAATTGTTATGACTTGACCAAGGTCGTCGCTGATTCGTTATGACCTTACGAATTTAACAAGGACGTAATTCGCGTAAATTATCCACCAATAGAATACGCCTTCTACGACCTTCACACTGTGACAATGACGTTCGATTAGTATGAGTAATCTAGCGTCCTTATTGGCCCTTATCCGCCTAACCCGTCCACTTGAGTCCAAAACACGAATAGCAGCTACAGTAATGCGAATCGTTTATTTCAAACATACTTTGTCTATAAACCAAACAGGCAGACCACACCACACCATAAAATAGAAAATAATATTTGTACAAAATCAAGCCAAACGTGGCTGGAGGCGTGGGGGACTACTCAATAAACCGAGTATAATTTAGGAACAATAAATCATATAATAATAATCAATAGGTCAAAATGAAGCTAGTAATAAGATGAATATAGACATAGATAATCCAGTTACTGAATAGTTATACCATAGGAATATAAATAGATTAATAGTCTAATAAGAGGTCCCGTGAGTTATCAGTACTTACTTTTTTCCTAGTATATAACAATTAGCTGTTAAATTATGATGGAATACTTAGTGGTTGGTCAACGTAGCTACTATTGTCAGTTTGTTTTTGTGTTGTCTTCATTTGAAAATGCCGTCATTGTACTCGTTTTCTGTGATAAATTCCTAGGCATGTAATCTTTTCTGTTTAATTATTAGCTTTTATCGTCTTGTAAATTCTAGGAGAGAGACTTACACTACGCTCTATGGTGCAGACAAATTATCTGTGGTCCCCTGAATCGATTTCATATCATAGTCTCGGAAATCGTTTTTTTTTTCAAAGCCAAAACCCTTTTAACAGTTGTTTGACTGTTACTCGGTTTATAAATTTGTGTTTAACAGCAAGTTACTTTTCATGACACTAGTCTTCTTTTATTAAAATTTTTTAAAACCCAATTAATCATAAAGTCATAGGCAGTCATCGTGATTAGGTTTTGTTTGAAGGAATGGAATTACTCGGAGTTTACGTGAATTCAATCATGACCATCTTCGAAGCATTTCTCACGTATGGTTGGATCACCGACTAGCAGTGGTGAAGTTAAACTTAGGGATCCAGGCAACTGTGGGAAACCGGCTGTAAATATTCATTGACTGAGTTAACTAGGGCATGTATTACGTACACTTAATCACTGCCTACCTCGAAGTACAATGTTTTGTGGGTTAGGCGTAGATTGAAAAGTGGAATAAGCATCTAATCAAGGCGTAGCACCAGTCTATAAAGTCGCAGTCTGTTGATTTGAGCAGTGTTAGAAGGTGTAGACTACATAGTCGGGGTCCGGAAAATGAAGTGACATGACTCACAGTTGGTCACAGTGAGGTAGGTAAATTCACTCAGTATCTAACTTTATACCCTGAATTCGGAAACCATTTTTTATTTTGCATTCTGTGAATTCATTCTTTCTGAAACTACGTTCTTTACCTAATTATTGAAGAAGGCAACAAAAAAGATTTGAGCAGAATAGCATGAGTTCGTTTTATTTCGTTTGGTTGCCCTCAGCTGCTTACAACCTGTGATATGTAAAAATCATGATTACAAAATGAGTCTGAATTACCTACATGAAATATTCTAGTTGGAAGTTACTTTGAAGACACATCGGTATAGTATAGCAAGGGTGTAAATAAAGTTAAGACTGAATAAAATATTGTACCTTATATAAAAGAACATTCTACGACATTTATAGTAATCAAAGATCCAAAGGGCTGAAAACAAGTGGTTACGTAAGGAGTAAACACTGATACTAAATAAGAATGAGTAACGCTTAACTGATTAAAATAGGATTACTAATCTGAAAGATAGTCGAAATAAAAAACACAATTATGTAGTTAATTGAAGGAGAGTTAAAAATAATTTTTATGTAATCAAGGAATATTTGTCGCCAAGGCAAGGAAAGATTAACAACCATCTCCCCTTGGGTACATGAATCAAGCTTCTGATGCCTGATAGCAGCGGCTTCAGCAAACTTTAGAAGACTGGAGCTTGATCGATTATCAACCATTTTGAGCGATTGTACGGTATCGACCTAATGTCCTGTATCCAAGAGATGTTCAGTAATTGCACTGTTTAAAACACTTCTATTTCTTATTCAAAGGCTTTTTGGAACGTGTTCAAAAATTTAAGGTATGCCCTCCTTTCTGTCCGGCCAGTTTAGTTGGTTTGGCATGTACACGCAATTTTGTAAACACAGTTAATGGAAACGCCAAGGGGGTGCTTGTCGACCTTTGATTGGGTTGTTGAACATGTTTCATACAATATCAATATTTCGGTTGCCGGGTACGTCCTAGCTAATTCGGTGTTAAGCCTCTTGCTGATTGTGCTTGTGATATTTTTGAAATTGAGACTTGTAGATAATGGTTTTTTAGTCACACCTGTCTTGTTTTCTTTAGGTCCGTCATATTTATTAATAAACTTCTGTGAGTAGCAGTTGTCTCTTAGAAATTTTTCTGCGTTTATCAATCCTTCTAGTTTGTTGGCGGTACATTTCTTTTCTACTAAATAAAATAATGTTTTGATCAACTCTTTCTCGTTACTGATTGGGAAAAAAACTATTGAAATTTAGGTAAAGATCATCCTTAGTCCTTTTTCAATAAACCGAACGTGAAAGTGCCTTCTCCCCTCCTTTGTATGGCAATGTCAAGAAAGTGGAACATGTCATTATTCTCGTGTTCCATAGTTAAATAGTTCTAACAGGTGGACTGCACGGTGTTTACTGTTGGAGACAATATCGGTGTCATCAACCTATCTGGAGTATTCCATCGTTTTGCTAATCGCTTGTTTAAACTCTCTGTTTTCAATATAACCCATAAAAATTTCTGCCATAATTGGATCTAATAGACTTCCCATTGCTACACCATCAATTTGACGGCATATAGCGTTATCGAATCGAAATTGAACGTACTTTGTGCACATAAGTAGTACTTTTTTGATTTTGACCTTGGCAAAGATAGATCAGAATTCCGGCAAATAGTTATTAATGATTCCACGAAGTGATATTTTAGTGAAAAAGGATTTTACATTTAAAAAAACCATGGGTTTACCAGCAACATTCATGCGATTTAGTCTGTCAGTGAATTTCTTAACATATATGTTGTTAATCTCTAGCGGACTGGTTCTAGCTTATCTGCTAGCCAGCGTTTAACTTTGTGATGCGGTGAATCGATCATTCACAGGATGGGTCTAAGGAGGATATCATGTTTGTATACCTTTGGTGGACCAAATATATGAACCAGACGTGAGCCACGATGTTGTAGATCATTTTAAGTAGAATTAGCAATGATTTTCTTTTTAGAAGTTCTTTAGGCGTGAATGTTATTCGTTTTTCTGTTCAGTTAATTAAATCCTTGTTGGCTTTGTTTGCCTTGAACCTCAATTAGTCTTCTAGGATTGACTTCATCTTAATGATATATTGAGCTGTGTTTATTAAAGCGACACCATAACCTTAATCGGTTTGTATGATCATTACCTCGTCATTTTGTTTAATATTTCCTAAAGCTGTCAGATGTTCTTTGGGTATAATATCTGATTTTGATCTAGAAATGAAATATTGGTTTGCAATATCAACTGACTCTGAATTGAACCAGCCCTTCTTTTCCTCATTCATTCGATTTAAATTTTTTGGCTGGTCAAATAAATTTTCCAATTAAGCTTCTGTATAAATTCTGTCAGTAATTGTTTTTGGTATATGAAATTTAAGTCCCAGTAATAAGGCTTATGTTTTTATATCATTAAGCTTTATGTTCGATTAGTTATAAATAAAATTTTCACAGAGCCCTAAGTATAGTTGTTCCTTGGTCGGAGTTTTCGATAGAGATTTGTGAAAGTTCTTGCAAACCTTGATTTGAAGATCGTGAATAAAGCTGATGGAATTTATCTGACATGCAATATTTAAAACATTGACCACTTCTTCGAAAGCATTGGCCTCAGTTTTCAATTGTGTAGTAAGTAATTTTGTTAATTCAGTGCGCGATTTGGTGATACATCAGAGGTTCTTAAGCGAAAGTGAGAGCTTACATGATCGCAAAGATTTTACAAATTGACGTGAAAAACGGCGTTTACTCTTTACGTAACCACTTGTTTTCAGCCCTTTGGATCTTTGATTACTATAAATGTCGTAGAATGTTCTTTTATATAAGGTACAATATTTTATTCAGTCTTAACTTTATTTACACCCTTGCTATACTATACCGATGTGTCTTCAAAGTAACTTCCAACTAGAATATTTCATGTAGGTAATTCAGACTCATTTTGTAATCATGATTTTTACATATCACAGGTTGTAAGCAGCTGAGGGCAACCAAACGAAATAAAACGAACTCATGCTATTCTGCTCAAATCTTTGTTGTTGCTCTCTTCAAAGTGACTAAAGGAACTATGTTTATGAAATTTATCGCATACTTCATCTACTGATCTTGTATTTGTCTTGATAATTTCATCTCCATGTGCTTTTATGGAGCGGTAATTTAGGCCGATAAACATATATACCAGGTTATTATATCGTTTGTGACGGACTGGTTGACTTGGATTAGTGGAGTGTACTAGGTTCCATTAGAATACTCTTTAATCCTTTTTATTTACTCTTCTTATAACTTTCTCGTCCTTCATAGTTTATCGTCAATTTCTTTGTCACATATTCATTTGCTATTTACTTTTCTGAGATATTTAACTCTAATTTTAGAGTTCGAAATGGCCAAAATTCCTTTTCATATCGCTACTAACCCTCGCTTGTACCCTCTGTGGTGTGGATATCCAGCTAATGAACAGATTGAACGGAATTTCAACATTTTCATTGGAAGTCATAAACCATATTGTGCTGTTTGCTCATTTTTGTGGACTCCTCAGGTGAACAAATCTTGGCACTCTTTTATCGATGACTCTTTGTAAATTTGGGATCTGTATGAAATCTGTACTTTTGGTAGTTGCCTAAGTGTTGGTAAAATAAGACTATTTTTTATATGGAAGCGGTTAAGATGTGGTTGCTACATTTCACATCAGCATAGAGGAAATAAGTAAAATAAAAAGCGTGGGATGTTAATTAATATATAGGGTTATATAAACTTGGACATAAGAAATACAAGTTTTTGAGTGAGGTTGAATAGTGACTTGTATTGAAAAATAGGATACATTTTTCTTGCTATCTAAGATGTAAACCCTTACATATAAACCCCTTAAATATAAATGCACAGACAAGCAACTATCAAGACTTATTAATTCAATGGATAAGATATTGGGCGTTTGAAGTGGAAGGTACTAGGTTCGAGCCTCAGTATGAACATCAACACTGAAATGCATGTATATCTAGCTGATGAGTCCCAAACACGACAAAACCCACCTTTTAAACCCTACTGATAATCACTACCCAACTATACTTAAAAAGTTGTGACGTGATGGCAGTATCAAGGTAATCCGCTCAGGATGCACATGCAAAAAAGAAACTGATCAAAATTCACTCACTAACATCCATAACAGGTGGATAATTTTGTTCTTAATTCTAAATAGCCGGTTTTTTGTTTATTATTAACGTAAAATACTTGAGGCCTTATCTAACTATTGACGTGTATCAACATTTTGTATTGATAGTTCTTAGTGTGTCTACTTTGACAGAGTAAATCTGTTAAGTTAATTCAAGATAACAATCTCTAATATTTTAGTGATTCGACTATACTTTTTGAGCACTCACTTAGGTAATAATCTGGTCCTTTAACCCGTGTGTCTCAGCTATTCAATATCTTTTTCCAATTATGTCTATGTAGAAACGTTTTTGTAACATGGCTTTCATGTTATGGCTAACATTACTATTAAGTTGTTCTAGGTGTTTGGAAACTATTAAATTGAATTTCAGATTTGATCTATTACTTTGAGTTTGGAAAAATGCAGTCCACTTATCACGTATGTTATCTATCATTTTAGCATGTTTCTAAGCTTTTATCTAGTGGACATCGAGAAGACAAACTACCTTTATACTCGGAACCGCACATTCCCGAAGTTGCATATCACAGCTATAATTCTTTTGTACAGTTTCCTCCGATGGTTAAAAGTCGTATACTCAGGTGTTTTCGCTGTTGCTTAACTGTACATGCTAGATGTTATGGTGTACAAGATGAAATTGGATTTAAATATGAATCTTCATCAGAACAAAAATATAATCTGAACTTGAAAAATTCTTGGTATTGTGATGCGTGTATGGCGAGTTCAAAACCCGTAAGTTAATGTGATTTAATGTCTTCTAAATTACTTATTGTAATCGTTATATCGTTGACATGTTGAATGAAATGATTATAAACTGTGATAAAAATGTGATTCCATCGGTAATAATATGTACTGTTTTTGTCATAACACAGCGTACCATTTAACAGTTCTGTACTATTTTATTAAACCATCTTTGGAAGAATAACACATCCGGATACTTCAAGTTTTATTTTTTAAGTGACTAATCTATCTCAATATATATATATATATATATATATATATCCTTATCACAGGATGCAATTCTACAGACTTAAAGTAAAATTCGTTCTAATTTACCTCGTTCAGTGCAGTACTAAACTTTGATATAACAGCGTTAAAAAGACCAGTAGTAACTAAGCATCCATATTTTTTGCTCTCTTAAGGATACTTGGGGGTTACGTTGCTCCATCGCCTTGTGGATTAGACCTTTAGGTCAAAGGCTCTGGGTGTGGCCCCCTAAGAAAACCACCTGCTTCGGTCTGGGCACCCGGGCAGTGTCCCAGCCCTCACACAAACTGAATGATTTGTGTGGCGCATATATATTCGGTGCCCTCCTGTACCAATGTTTATGTGTTTAAATAAATAAATAGCCGCTGACCAAATAATTTAACCACTGTTTGATTTCTCCTCACTCAATTTCAGTTTTTTATCCAGAATTGTATGATAAAGTTGACAGTATAAATAATATCTAAGTCTGCTATACTACAATAGCAGTGTTTCACGCAATTTAATATCTTATAAGTTGAAAAACTAAAAATAACAAATTCTTAATAGACACCTAATAAAGTTCATAATAATTGGTGTAATGTAGTTGGCCAATTGAAGTATACCGACTAAGGTAAAAGCACTTGTTCTTTTTAATAAATACTATTGCATCATGGAGTCTATCAGTATGTAGTTCTATAAAAATTGGTGATTTTTTGACAAATCGTTTTTAATTTTCAGAAAGGTTGAGAAAAAGATTTTTCAAGTCCCCTACGATAAAATTCAATATTATTTGATATTCATTTTAATTAATACTGATGACTCTTCCAAGCCAAGCGAATTGATATTTTACGATATTTTATCGGTTCTCAACTGGATAACATGTGTGTACATATGGTGTTTCTCCAACCACTTTCAAACACCTAACATTTTAACATAGCCCACTTGATGTCGAGTGAATTAGATAAGTAGTTGCACCGCGAATTGATCTATAGGATCCGATCAGGACTAAAGGACCAGATAAACATGATACTGGTTACCACTCAATAATCAACCAATTATATATATATCTTTGAGTTTGTTCATTTGCATCTGATTATTTTACAGACATGCGTATTTTGTTATATGCGCGGAGGAGCAATTAAAGCATTAGCCAACATCAATAATACATTTACTGGACGACCTTACTGGGCACATTTAGTTTGTGCACTAATTACTCCAGGTTGCTATTTTAAAGATGTACCTAAACGATTGGCATTTGTTTCTGAAGATACGATCAAGTCAGCTGTATCCTTAGCCATATTATATTCAAGCGAAAGTAATGAACGTGTGGTTAATGAAATGCAAAATATCAGTTCCCCAAATCACGTATCTGAGGATATTCCTTTCAAATCTTCATGTCATTTACAAAGGAATTTGAAACTAATGCGTAAGAGACCACCTAATGTTAATAACAATATTTTACGAGATTATGAATCATATGATCAAGGAAGTAAAACACGTCAATTAAACAAATCAAAGTTAGTTGTCCTTTATAAGATAATTATTTAGGTTTGCTGTTTAATGGTACATAATTCCTTAACATAAATAATTTTATTTGCAAAGGTTTGCATTATCTGGTTGTTGATGTTTCTACTGAAATCTGATCAATCCTAGTTGACATATGTTCATCCTGTGAGGATTGCCTCGATATAGCCATTATAATATTTATGTGTATAGAATAGATGGAATATGGCTAGCAGTGGAATCCAGAAAGCATGTCACATTCTATTTGCGACCCGTTGAACAAGTTTGTGGCTATCTAGACTCAGTAGCTAGGTAGGTGACTCGTCGGAGTTCGATGCTAAAGGTACTGGGTTTGAATTGCGGGGTGGACATCAACTCTGGGATTCAGATTTACTCAAATGATGAGTCCCAAGTAGAATGAAATGTGCCTCCTGAACTTTACTGCTAGTCATATTTCATCTATTCTAAAATGGATTAGTCTTGTAAACACTCGGGATCGTCACTGACCATTTTAGTTTTGCTAAACGGCAACTAGCTAATTGTCAAGCTCTTATTTATTTATTTATTTAAACACATAAATATTGGTACAAGGAAGCACCAGATAAATATGCGCCTCACAAATCTCATTCGATTTGTGTGAGGGCTGTGATACTGCTCAGGTGCCCAGACTGAAGCAGGTGGTTTCTTAGGGGGCCACACCCGGAGCCTTTGAACTAAAGGTCTAGTCCACAAGGCAGTAGAGCATCGTGAGGAGATGCAGTCCCATGGTAGCCGGTCACCAACAGTTGGTTCATACGCCATTTGTTCCTTCAGGATACTGGAGCCCATGTGCACCATTGGTTTGGAATCAGGGTTTTCCAACTCCCCTAGGTGGATCCTCCACATCCACCAACCCGGTTAAAACGCCGGACATTCACTTTACGTCCTCTCACTTTTGTGAGCAACACCGGTGCCACGGGAAGGCAGTGAGTAAGACTTCCCTGGCAGAGGCTATATATTCGCGTGGCCATATGAGAGCATTTCGAGAGGGAGAGCAAACTCTCCCCACTCTCAGCCTTATCAGGGCATTTGGGAGCTCTTGATCAGAGGTCACTGCCAAATCACGTTACGGCCTACCATGGATAGCTTCTAATGTTCTAACTAATCAGTTTAGGAAGCTCACGTTACGCTACCTTGACATGTAATCGAATATATTCTTCCTCCCGAAAATCACCTTCCCTGCTTATCTTTGAGTGAGTGCGTTATCGAACACTTGGTTATGAATGTTAACGGATTCTGCTCTATGTTGGACACCTGCGGGTGTAATTGTTTTGTTTTTTCTTTTCATCAGTTATTTAACCACCAATTACTGTTGATAACTAAAAATAACAAAACTATAAGTAGTAAATTGTAAATGATAAAAATTTCTATGTAAAAGTCTAGTTCCTTAAGACGTTTTTCTAATACATATATTCGACTCCCCCTTTTTTCTTCTCTTTTATTTCACAGTAATCGTTTTTCACGAAAGCTACTCAACACTGCTTCCACAACTTCAGTTGATTTTAATGTAAAAAAAATAAAACCATTCATTCAGAACAATGACAATGAAATTTCTAGTGTTCATCATTCTGACAATACTAATATACCAGTTGAAACTGGAGGCAAATTTACATCATCTCTTCCTTCAACATGTTTTGTGTGTCAATTACCTGGGAGAGGATTTCTTCCATTGGCTTCTTGCTGGTATAATGGTTGTTCTACACAGTTTCATGTTACTTGTGCTCAAATGGCTGGTATTGTTATTGGGACTGATGTATATCCTCGGTTCTTTTATATCGCATGCAGTAAACATCCTACTAACTACGATCACGTAAGATTTCTCATAGTGCGCTTATATTTATCAATACAATACTCATTATTTGTAATATTCAGTCAAAATAGCACATAGTAAATAACGTTTGACAAAATTTATTATAGTTCACTATATTTCTTGATTTTCACATAATGTCTGGTACCTTTTTTGAATTTTTTGATGCCAAGATACTAGAATTTGACGTTAGTGCAAGCGAGTCGAAGGGTAAAATAACTTCATCTCGTGTAGAGGAACTTTTAATTTTTTTCTTAAATACAGCAGTATGGTTCTTTCCCCATTATATTTAGCTGTCATGTTTGTTTATTTATGATAGGAGACATGTCATGGATATTTGATGATTAGTTATTGTAGAAGTAATTGACTTTAATGGGTGTAACGATCAATGACCAAATTCCAACACAAAGTGAGAAGTAGAGAAGACTGTAAATTTTGCATTGACTAAAGCGTATGAGCTTGAGTAATAAAACCAAGATCTACCAGCTATCTATCTTTTAGTTTTCTGATATTTTTACAGAAATTGTCAGTCTTACAGAATTAGTGTCACTAGTCTATCGAAACCGATGGCCAAAGTTTTTATGTAATATTAGTAAAAATTGGTAGTAGTATCTTGAATACATCTATACTTCTATGTTGTAATTCCTTGATATATTGAGTACATATGATGTACGTTCCAGTAATTCAAGCTATCTTTTGGATTCGGATTTATTCTTCATAGTATATATATATATATATATATATATATATATATATCACCGATAAAATCTAATCAGGAATTGTTAGATAATTTCAAACTAAGCTGAAAAAATTGATTATACAGGAGTATACAAACTCTTGGTTTGATCAGATTTTATGTGGATCTACCAATATTAAAAGCTGTGGTGGATCTATAAATAAGTTCAGTAAGTTGTATCATACTAATCATAGAACAGAAGTGCCCTAGATATTTGATCATATATGGAATGGAAAATACACACTTCTGGACAGTTACAGACCAAAAGAATGTACAATAATCCACGATTTGTATTAGTTTTTAAATCATTTTTAGTTCCTACTAGACTTTTATACCGATGGTCACAGATTGTTATTTTCCAAATAATCTACCATGACCTTTTCTACTAATTCAGAAGTATTCATTCATATTTAATCTTTTGCTTCTCTTTTAAATACAAAAAGCCGAATTTCCACGATCACGGTTCCGTTTCCCCAGGAGATGAAGTAATGGTACAACAAACCAGTGATCCTATATTTTCATCCGCTATTGCTATCCGACGAGTAACTCCTTTATACTGCCGTATTTCGTTTCCTGATGGAACCTTCTCATCGGATACACCACCAGAGTATTTGACAGTAGGAACACTTTTTAACCTTTAATTTTATATATCTTTATAAATTGAGATTATTAGAGTAGTTCACAAATTATTGTGAACGGTAATAAGTATTCTTAATTATTTATACCTACTAGTGCTTATTATTGAATAAAATTAATGTTTTTGAGGGCGGTAATGAATCTAACCTCTTCACTTTTAGAATGTTAATTGGTTCAAAGATGGACCTCCAGAAAAAGGATCACTTGTTAAGGTTTTATGGGATGACGGAATGGAATATACGGGAACGTATGAAGGTACTACTTCTGAACAGTGGGAAGTAAGTGTAATTATTGGTTGAACATTGGCCATGTATTAAAGTTGTAAAACAGTCACATTTATTTCCTTTACACACATTATCAAATAATCAGATATTTGTGTTAAGCATATATTGATGTGACGATGTGTAGATCAGTTTTCCATGTTTTCCGCCAAGAAGATCAAAGGTTGTCTAGTCTTTCGTTATTACATGTTATTTGTTTGAAGGATAACTTCGATGACATTTTTCTAATTCACATTTTCGCAACAACCTTTCTTGTTATCTGATTGATCGTTATTGTTTTTTAGTTTACTAACGTTGTTAAGTGCTTCAGAGTCATTACATGTTACTGTATGAACAGTCGTTCAGTTTTCGGCATCTGTTCGAAATGTAAATCTCCTTTGGAAGTTCAACTTTATCTCTTTATTGGCGGGTAGATTGTGGAAGTTGTAGTGTCATCGTCCGGTCTATTTGAGTATATCCGTTGTGCTCATACTGGAGGATTCTCAATCGTTCATAAATTAAACTCACTGTAGACCATCCGGAAATTCCAATATGTAATCGTTTTTATCAATACTTAACAGTTTCACATCTGTCTGGATATCAGTAGTTGACTTGGAATACAAAAGGTTATATTCATAACTTTACAAACCCTCCAATACTCTTTTGCTTCTATTATCAAACCCATATGACCGAATCATAAATGTTTTAATGAGGTTAGGCAAATAACAACAGTTATATATATATATATATATATATATATATACGTATTAAGAGTAAATTTCACTAACAAACCATTCAATATTATACAGTGGTGTCTAGTGATCGAGAGAATGAAAACGTTGATGTTGGAATTTAGTTTAATTATGTTTTTTATTTATTCATTACCTATTTTAAATAACACCGAATATACTGTTAAGAGCATCCACAGCATATGAATACGCTCTCTTAGTAAACACTTATGATCCTATTAGCTTGCTAGCTGCTCTTGAATAAAAATTGATCATTTCATTGTTTATTCATACTAAATGCACCTTCAATCAACATGTTATGTATTATATTGTAATGAACAAAAACTCAGGTACGGTAGACCAATTTATTGTTATATGCAAAATTACACAGTGCCTCTACAAAATATGAAAATCATACATTAAATACATTATTTGTACATCTTCCTTCAGTTGTCCTTTACGTACTTCATTATTCTCTCGATTCTTTTGTTATTCTAGTTGCTATCTGTTTCGCTTTCTCTTCTCTTTAATTCAATGTTTTGCTGGCAAGCATCCCACTTCCGATTGCTGCTACATACTACTTATATCTGTCAACATACGTAGCGTACACCACTATCATCCTTCCTTCAAAAGAAGGTCACTTGCCGTCAATCTGCTCAACATATAGCTTTCTAGGTTGTCGCGGTCTGTGTCATGCCATTCGTCGAAATGTCGGATCCACCGGCGCGTTGACCTCTCAGGACGTCTAAATCCGATGCCAACCCAGCACCAAAAACGTCTCACGTCTAGTAAAACAAAGAGAAGAGGAAGGAAAACTAAGAGAAATCGGAACAACAACAGAATTAAAAGAATAATGGGGTACATAAAGGAGAACTGAAGGAATATATACAAATAGTGTATTTAATGGATGATTTTCATATTTTGTAGAGGCACTGTGTAATTTTGCATATAACAATAAATTGGTCTACCGTACCTGAGTTTTCGTTCACGACAATATTTCTCACTTTAAACAAATATTTCCACTTTTATAGAACAGATAAAGAAAATTACACTGAGTTTCGTCCGATTCAGTTTTATTTAATGCTAGTATCGTATGTCTCAAATTGACATCGTTTGTGACTTTTCACGTACTTAAAGTGATAATTCCAGAGCAAAAATATGTTTAGAAATCAAATTTTGATATAGAATCAATTGAATCTACAGCAAATGTGTTGATATGATTAAAATAATATATCTGTTGTATCTAACCATGATCTAATTTGACTGCAAGAAATAAGCCGAATATCTAGGCATTAATTCTATTGGTGAAGGGATAATTTATAGTGTTTATAACCTCCAATCGTTAATCTATTAAGTGAGTCATAATTATACCTTTGTGTTCATTACTGTCATAGAAGCGTGTTACTTTTTTTGGTTGATAAGATAATACCTATTCTACTGGCCAGCTGTCTTGTCTTCTGATATCAGTTCAATTTTAGGGCTCGTGTCCAGTAATTCGGTCTCTCAATCAGTCATCACCTATTTAGTTTGTATCACTTAATCCATCTCATCTGTATTATTATTATTATTAATGGCTTCATTCATGGATTGGATCAATTTATTATAACAACAAAAAACTCATCAAATGACGAAAGTTTTGTTTATGATATGTAACTGCCGTAGATTGACAATTATTAGTTTTTTTGGAATATATTTTACAGCAGAAAGTTTATTGAATTCATCTCCTGTGTCTAATTTATGGAGATCATATTATTTTTTTTACATGTTATCCCTTTCGAGTAACTATTCATTTCAGTATCAAGATGACAATCGGTAGTCAAGCAAGTACATTAAATATATATTTAGTGTTGTTGTTCAACTTTTTAAAAATAAAGTATCTCATTTATTTATTTCTCATTCATTCAGACTATTCTCATAGCTTTCCCTATAGTTTCAATTTATTCAATAATTTGTTTACACTTCACAACAGGTTCAACTGGAATCTGGAGAGATCAGAGTATTTAATCGTGAACAGTTTTATGTACAACCAAAAACTAAATATTCAGATAGTAAGTCAAAACAATGTATAATATTCTTTGTTTTATCCATTCGTTTTATCAAATTTTTAAATAAATGTAAGAAAAATAATTGCTAACCTTTATGAGATTGTTTTGGTTACAAACTAAATTATATACTCCCAAGTATGATATTTAAAGTCAAAAGTAAATAAAAGTCACGGTGTAGTATTTTATTCAGCAGTCTTCTAGTTGGTTACTAACTAACCTATGTGACTAAACCCTGAAATAAATAAATGTCGATTTCAATTCAATAACTGATTCTTATTGTTGAGTGTTATACACTTTGAAGATGGTCAGCTGAAATTAATCATTGGCTCGTTTTATTTAATTAAGCTAGACTTGGATGATAAAGTCTTTGGAGTTAACTTATATGATAAGTTTTTGTTGAGTTGCCATTTCTCGTGGATCAGCCAGTTTTGTCATTAAGTTTTCCAGCTCTCATCTCGTTCTGACCTATTATAATATGATAAAAAGTTATTTAAATTATTAAATCCTCTACTTAATTACGGCTAATATGGTATTCGGCTTCCGTACTCAAACGCGCAGAACCCACAGTTGCAAAGTCGAAAAAAGAGAAATACATTTATTTAGTAAGTGTCAAAAATGTACAGAAAAAAGGTGTATTTATAATTTATTGGTGTGTGCTATAACGATTTTAATCCAGCCAATCCACTAACTTATACAATTTTTTAAGTATACCATACCACTTTGATATTCCAGAAAGCTCTATCGAAATCTGATTGGATGAAATCTCTTCGGATCCTTTATGGCCTCTTCAGGATTTTTTGCGCTTTCTAGGAGCCGTCCCAACACCTCGAATTAAGATTCCTCTCTACAGTCTGCTTGTACCTTGCGTCTGCATTCCATTCTTTTGCTGTCTTCTTTATCCACCCCTTCTTTCTTTCATTCTTTAAGTTGTCCTTCGGCGTTTCCGCCATTGAAGTATTGTAGTGAAGAACACAGGTGAGGATAGCCGATTATAATTGGCACAAAATTGCAGAGTTCTATGGTAAAATAGAAAAACCATACTCTAATGCTTCATTTACAAAATGTTCGTTAGCTGTTACAGACTTCATTGTTCCTGCATTCCCATACCAATTGCTTTCTGTTCCCCTTTTTTCCTTCTCAAGCTTCTACTATCAGACATTCTATTCGTGACTCGCGACATATATAGTTATGTTGATATAATTAGCGCATACCACACTCATCCCCTCTTTTAATAAGCTGTTCTCTCCGTTTTTCCGATCGCCGTACCTCTGTCTTTTTTGGTGCTGTTCGTGACTCGCGCTCATGATGCTCTTGAAACCATCTCCGCAGTTGACTGGCATTTACTCGCTTTTGCTTGTTTGCTCTCCGGATCGTGTAAACCGAGTCACGTCTTTCCGTGACAATTTACTGTCCTTCCCACTTTGGGATTAGCTTTCCTGATCCTGATCCCCCAGCTATGTTACCTTTCCGCTCTCTACAATTTGCCTGATCCTTCACTGCAAAAAGCTTCCACGTTCTTCTCGGCTACTACTACTACTGCTTACTACTTCAGTCACTGTTTTCGCCCGCTGTTGTGCAATGGGTACAGTGTCTACCCATCATGTAGCATGTTCCGTCACCACTAGCAGGTACTGGTTACCTCTCACCGTACATGGAAACCGTCCCATCACATCCACTGACCATAGATCACCGACTGCGGTTATTGGGATTGACTGTAATGGCGGTTGTGTGTATGGATCGCTTTTCATTAGTTGAGACTGCTGGCAAGTTAACACGTATTGAGCCACGTCGTCTCTCATGCTTGGCTAGTATGCACTTTGTCGTAGTAAATCCGTCGTTCTCGCGATATCTGTATGCGCTACCTGGTTACACTTATGTATCATCTTACTCTGCCAGTCCTTCGGGATCACAGCCATCCAATTTTTGTCATCGTCCTGCCCGATCAGGGTTCGACATGCGTTCACTTTCAGTCTTTCCTTTTGCCGAAGCAACATTATTACCTCCTTGTCCATTGCTCGTTTGTCGACGTCTGCCCCCTCTTTTATCACTCTGATTACCTCTCGAATTTTGGGTCAGCTTCCTGCCGCCGGACGAGTCCTAGTGGGTCTCCTTATATACTATTCACTGCGTATGCTGTCAATGGAAGCTCGGCTTCCATGTCTGGTCTTGACAAGTAGTCCGCCATTACGTTTTCCTTTCCGGGAACATGACCGATACTGAAGTCATACTCCTGTGGATGTATCATTCATCGCGCCAACTTCCCACGGGGATCTCTTTCCGCTTTCAGCCACTGCAGGGGTTTATGTTCAGTCTTGATGTGGGATCGTCTACCTAAAAGGTACGGTCTCCATTTGTCTACTACCTATACAATTAGTAAACATTGGTTTTCGATCATTGAATAGTTCTGTTCAGCTGGTGTGAGAACTCGACTCGCGTATTCCACCACTCTGTCAGACTGACACAAGACGGCACCCATACCATGACCATTTGCATCTGTGGCCACTTTTAACGGTTTCTCGGGTTCAGGCAGTCTCAGCGTAATGTTTTTGATTCGGTTGGACGTTTGTTTGGGAGGGGGGGTCTCAGTCCGGGTAAATTTACTGTCCCTCAACAACTTCTATAGGGGTGTTGCTACTTCCCTGAAGTTTTTGACGAACCGGCTGTAAAACGCTACACTTTCCGGTCACTGTCTCAAATTCCTTTGTGAATTAGGTACTACAACGTTCTTTATGGTTAGAATTTTCTCCGGCAGTGGTTTTATTTCTCTATTTCCCACTTTATGCCCCAACAACCTGACACTACTTTTCGCTATCTGCTACTTGTCCTTATTAGTTCAAATTCCGAATTCTTCAATTCTCTTTAAGACCGCTTGTACTTGCTTGACGTGATCTGTTTCTGTCTGGCGGTACACAACTACATCGCCATACACCTCGACGTTATCTAGATCCCTGAGCAGCAGCGTCGTTAATCTTCTGAACGTAAATGGTGCATCCGCCAAGCCAGTCGGCATTCGTTCAAATTGATACTGTTTATCACTTGCAATAAATGCTGTTTTGTTTCGATCGCTCTCTTTTATAGGCAGTTGCCAATAACCTGACCGCAAATCCAGCACTGTAAACACTGTAGCATTCTGCAGTCGACCTAATGTTTCCGCTACTCTTGGCATTGCACAAGGTTTCAGTTCTGTTATGGTATTCAGTTCTCTAAAATTGAAACAATTTACACTTTCTATTCAGTTTCTTTACTAAGAGTACCGGCGAGCTAAACGTGCTGTCCGCTTTCTGTATCATACCTTCTTTCAACATCTGGATTTGTCGACTTACCTCAGCCTCTAAATACACAGGGACACGACTTGTTGCAAATATATTTGCTCGGTAGTTCTTTATCAGGATTTCGTGTTTTTATTTGTCACAAAATATGTATGGCTCTTCGTCTCCAGTGAAAAGTTGTGTATACTTTGTGCACAACTCGTTAATGTTTAGTTTCTTCGTCAAAACGTCCACTGCCACTCTTATCTCAGCCACTTCGCTACTTTCATGTATTGGGAGTGAACCGTACTTTGTGACCATGTTACCGCTTCTCAAGTCAACTATTGCGTTTACTTCTCTTAGAAAATCTGCTCCTAATATCGGTCTCAAAAGGCTTGCGATTAATACGAACGGGAAGTTTATCTTAGCACCACCCACTCTTACGATACTTTTGACACACCCAACACCTTTAACATGTGCCCTCCTATGGTGTGGACTGCTAATGTACATGGCTTAAGTCTCTTACATTGCTCTTTACCTACTAACGACACTGCTGCCTCTTTATCGATCAGACACGCTAAATCTCGTTCATTTATGTTCACTCTTGTGTAGACTGCATCTCTATCTACTAGTGCAACAACCCCAGATTCCTAGGGTAGAGAGAACATGCGTTATAACGTCTAAAATATCTGCGTCTTCGTCGTGTTGGACAGTTATCTTCCAATGTCCAGTCCCTTTACAAGCGTAACACGTATCATTCCTTTTATGATTCACTCGTGTTGCAGCAAGCTCACCCTGCAGCTCCTCAGTCTTCTCAACACTTTATCTCCTGACTTCCTCACCTGACCGGAGCTACTGTGGGTCACCTTCGCCAGTTCACTGGTATCCATAAGTTGTGCGGCGTTTACTAGTTTCAGCTGCTGGGAAACCGCAACAGGCATGCTCTCGATAAACTGCGACGCCAACAACTGTGCCTACGATTCCTCGTCCAGATTCAGCAGCGCGCGGTGCAACAACCTAGTTGCCCCCAAATGCCCTGATAAGGCCGAGAGTGGGGAGAGTCTGCTCTCCCTCTCGAAATCCTCTCATTTGGCCACGCGAATATATAGCCTCTGCCAGGGAAGTTCTACTCACTGCCTTCCCGTGGCACCGGTGTTGTTCACAAAAGTGAGAGGACGAAAAGCGGATGTCCGGCGCTTCAACCTGGTTGGTTGACACGGAGAGTCCACCTAGGGGAGTTGGAAAACCCTGATTCCAAACCGATGGTGCACATGGGCTCCAGTATCCTGAAGGAACAAATGGCGTATGAACCAACTGTTGGTCACCAGCTACCATTGGACTGCATCTCCTTACGATGCTCCACTGCCTTGTGGACTAGACCTTTAGTTCAAAGGCTCCGGGTGTGGCCCCCTAAGAAACCACCTGCTTCAGTCTGGGCACCTGAGCAGTATCACAACCCTCACACAAATCGAATGAGATTTGTGAGGCGCATATTTATCTGGTGCTTCCTTGTACCAATATTTATGTGTTTAAATAAATAAATAACAACCTAGTAAACTCCATAGTCAGCACCGGTGGTTCACCATCGATCAACAACTTCGCCAGCTGGAACTTCTGCAGTGTTTCTTCTGTGTCCACTGAGCTGTCAAACTCCGCGATCAACGGCTCTGTGACTGCCCTCCATGTCGTCTTCCTGCCAGCACCGCCCAAGCTGTCATATACAGTCTTCGCTCTGCCCCTCAGCAGCGTCCCCAGCACCACTGATGTTCCCGACCGTTGCTGCCACCTTCACGTGATGGTCGGGCTTGCCTATCGTGATGAAGCAATCGAGCTATGCTGGCTGGAACAATCGTTCCTCGAAGTCCTACCATGCCAGACAGGTCGGTTGAAGAGCGGTGAGACTAAAAGCAGCAAACCGAAGGTCCGAAGGCGAAGTCGTACTGTCGACTGTACAGAGGTGTGACGGCAGTACGGTGTTTCCTTCAGACAACCAGCATGGCAGCGATGCTGCCTTCCCACAAGGAGGGGTGGAGTTAGAAAAGGTCGGCCCTAAAAATGCACACCTCGCCTTATCCCACGGATATCCGTCTCCGGCGGTAAGGTTTTTTTTTGAAGAACGGAGTTAACAGAAAAACTACCCACAAAAAGGTCGTGTGTGACCGACCTCAAGCAGTTGTCCCTTGGGCACTGCGGTCACGCTCTCAGGTCATTAAGACCACTTCTAACCCAATTTCCTTTTCAGGTACCCCCAGGAGAACGCTTCCACAGTGTGGGCAACCGGGAAGTGATAACTGCCCTCATACCCCTAACGGCACTCAAGACCACCGTATTCATAATCAATCTCCTTCAATTCCTACTGTTCCTTCTACCTTGACTTTTAACACTAAACTTCCTCTATCGGTTTCCTCCTCAAGTGTCACCATGGCCAACGATTCTAGTGCGCGAAACGCTGTCCTAGGTCTACTTAAACCTCGCTCCAAACTACACATTGGAGCCTTCAACGTACGTACCCTATGCCAAATCGGTCAACAGGCCTCCTTAGCTAAAACCCTAGAATCTCGTACCATTGATGTATGCTGTGTCTCCGAAACACGCATACAGGATCCCAGTGTGGTCATTCACTTGACGTCACCTCGCCAAAATGGACAGCCAACGAAATGCACCCTCCGTGTATCTGGCGACCCGTTGGCTAGTTCTCGTGGACTTGCAGGTGTAGGCATAGCACTAAGTACAGGGGCAGAACAGGCACTATTAGAATGGATCCCCGTTAACAGTCGCCTGTGTGCTGTCCGGCTGAATGGCTCCATAAGAACTCGGAAGGATAGGGACACACGTCGTTGCCTTTTCGTCGTTTCTGCCTACGCTCCCACCGACTGCAACCATGATGAAGTGAAAGATAACTTTTACAGAAAGCTCTCTGAGCTTCTTCAGAAAGCTAAGCGCTCAGACATAGTAGTCGTAGCGGGTGACTTTAATGCCCAGGTAGGCAGCTTGAATCAAACAGAAAGACATTTAGGTGGGTGTTTTAGTATTCCGGCTCAACGAACCGATAATGGTGATCGTCTGTTGCAACTATTCTCAGACATTCGTTTATTTCTAGCAAGCACTAATTTTAATCATAAGGAGAGACATCGTCTAACATGGCGACCACCTGCACCAAACCAACGATGGACTCAAATAGACCATATTGTCATCAGTCATCGTTGGAGAGGCTCAATAGAAGATTGTCGCTCGTATTGGAATACTTGTTTAGACTCTGATCACGCTTTAATACGAGCGCGCATTTGTTTGCGCCTCAATGGACGCAGGAAAAGTACACTAAGAAGACCCATTAGGATTGAACTGGAGGATGAGAAAGCCAAATGCGAATTCCAGAAGCAACTGAGTTCACATCTAGGCAGTTCTGTAAACAAGACTGACACAGATGCTGCTTGGAAAGACATACGAACAGCTGTGGAAACAGCAGTAACATCTATTAGTCATTTAAACCATTGGGCTCCAAAAAACCAGTGGATTTCTTCTAAGTCTATTTCACTGATGGATTCGCGTAAACTCATCCCATCAGGCTCTGAACATGACGAAGAGCGTAAAGAAATTAGATCTAGGTTAACCAAAAGTCTAAAGAATGATCGTGAGCAGTGGTAGGCAACGAAAGCAAAAGAGATGGCAAAGGCAGCGGCTGTAGGGAACACCATGCAACTATTCAGACTAATAAAAGAAACCGGAATTAAGAAGTCAAGTGTAAGTGAGACAATCTCCGAAAAAGACGAAACCCTTATCTGCTCTCAACCCAAACGTTTAGAACGATGGGCGGAACACTTTAAAGAGCAGTTTAGCTGGACTTCAGCTACTGCACAACTACCCACTATTCCTAGAAAACCTGAATGGAACATTGAAGTAGGCCCCCTGACCCTACTTGAAGTTCAAAAGGCTATAGGTAATCTGAAACGAGGAAGAGCAGCTGGTCCTGATGGATTGGCTCCAGAGGTCTTTAAATATGGTGGTCCGATTTTAGAGATTAGGTTGACTAATATTCTGGCTAAAATCTGGGAGACGGATGTAATCCCATCCGACTGGTCACAATCACTGATTGTCCCAATATATAAAAGGGGGTCAAAATCATCCTGCGATAACCATAGAGGGATTAGTCTGACCAACATAACATCTAAAATACTAGCCTCAATAATTATCGGGCGCCTAACTAAGACTCGTGAACTGCAAACACGAGAAAATCAGGCTGGCTTCAGACCTGGTCGTGGCTCTATCGACCACATATTCACTATTCGTCAGGTTTTAGAACACAGACATGCTTATCGGCGTCCGACAATGATAGTTTTTCTTGACTTGAAAGCAGCATTTGACTCTGTAGACCGAGAGGTTCTGTGGCAGTGTCTGTCATTGGAAGGTGTACCTGAGAAGTACATAAACCTTGTGAAGGCTCTTTACTCGAACACTAGCAGTCGAGTGAGAAATTATGGCGAACTGTCATCTGATTTTACAACCTCAAGTGGTGTCCGACAAGGCTGTCCACTATTTTTATTTTTGTTTAACTTCATTATAAACCTACTGCTGGAAATAACGCTCTAGTCGACTGAATTTACAGGAATTGATCTCCTACCAGGGGGACCACTATTCGACTTAGAATACGCAGATGACATAGTCCTGTTTGGTGAAGACGCTGGCAAAATGCAGAGTCTTCTGTTGGAACTCAGTAATAATGCCAGGATGTTTGGGATGCGATTCTCCCCCTCTAAATGTAAATTGTTACTCCAGGACTGGCCTGCATCAACACCTGAACTAAGGATAGGGAGTGAAATAGTCGAACGCGCCGACAACTTCACTTATCTTGGAAGTCTGATCAGTCCTAATGGGTTGTGTCTGACGAAATCTCTGCACGGATTCGAAAAGCTCGTTTGGCTTTTGCCAACTTATGTCACTTATGACGAAGATGAGATATATGTCTATCAATTAAGGGACGAGTATACTGCACAGCAGTTTGCTCTGTTCTACTTTACGACTGCGAAATGTGGCCACTAAGAATAGAAGATACTCGTAAGTTACTAGTATTTGAACACAGATGCCTTAGAAATATTGCTCGCATCTGCTGGGATCACCGGGTAAGTAATAGTGAGGTTAGACGCAGGGTATTAGGGAACGATGGTAAATCAGTTGATGAGGTGATGAATCTCCATCGACTGAGATGGTTGGGCCATGTGTTACGTATGCCTGAACACCGATTACCACGACGCGCTATGATGACTAGTGTAGGGGATTGTTGGAAGGGAGTTAGGGGCGGCCAAACCAAAACATGGCATCAGTGTTTGAAGTCACTAACTTCTAGTCTGAGCCATGTTGGTAGATACAGACTACCTGGTTGGGGTCCGCGTGACTATCGTAACCAATGGTTGGAGACTCTAGGTGACATGGCTCAGAATCGATCACAATGGCGTAGGTGTATACACTCTTTATCTTCCCTTAAACCTTGAGACTAAAATTGCTTCATATCTCTCTTCCTTCCTGTACTATATCCTTATATACAACCTATAATTTATATACTACTACCACCACTACATTAATTACTTCTATGAATCCGGTGTTCATCTTGTTGTGCTAACGAGGTATGGCAACTTGGACCGATGCATAAATGTGCCTGGTCCTACGTTGTAGCTGATTGACTGACTGACCACTGATGGTCGAAAACAGATCCATGTGATGTTGGGGGCTTCTAGAAACCTCAACCTTATGTCCCTCTGGAATATCTGAGGCTTTAATATTGGTGCAGGACGAAGTCGTCCGTTCCATATTTGTTTTCGGTGACGTATCTCAAGGGGGCTAAAAAAGGGTGTAGGAAAAAGAAAGGAAGAGAAGCAGAGCAGACAATAGTTAATCTATGACTACTTAGTCTATCTCTCTGTTATTGAGTTACTTATTAGGCAAGAGCATTCTAATATGTTGAAGAAAATATGTGTCAACAAGCTATGAATGGCTAAGGAACTGTGTAAATGAGGGTGGTTCAGAAAGAAGCTGAAAGTATGAGATTATATGTAATTGAAATATAGTGCTCTGAAATATAGTAGTAGTGAAATATAGTATTCTGTTACACAAATGACTGTCTTCCTTCTTTGTCGAAGCTATTTGAGCCCATTTTTTGTTTTTAGATCTTATAGATTATCCGTCATGTTTCCTGGTCAGTAACGCCTTACGTTTGTGATAAGTATGAATATTGCTTTAATCAAGGCCCATAGTTAGAATACACTATCACTACTAGTTCCTTGTTGCAAGCAAAGCAGATGGCTAAAGTATTTATATTATAGGTTACACATTCACTACGTATATCATGTTGTTAGGGGTTTGATGGAGCTTGTCTCTTCTCGGTTTCCCACAGTGTGGAATAATATTTTTCAAGGTACCTAACTTTCTGACTATACTTAAGATTTCAATGTAAAATTTTAGATCAGCTTTAATGATGATAAGCTTGGAGAGATCAACGTATCAGTAAGTTTACCAAGAAAGCTGTTTACTTTAACCCAGACGGTTTACAAGTCATTTTTGGCATTTTTACTTTACAGTAGGCTTAACTTTTGATGGTTCAGCTACTGACTATCCATGGACAATATCAGATCTTGAAGATTCAGTCGCTCCTTCGAATTCATAGCATGAGTTTTACAGTACATATATATTAACAATCTTATGCATTTCACTGATTGTACATAATGTTTTTGAAAGGGATTTATTTTTTTAGAGTTTGCCTACCTTTATATAAACATAAATTTTACATTTCTTGACTAATTAATTTCGACTCTGGTTACTTGGTGGCAACATTCTAATCCAAGGATGGTGAAAAGATTTCACACTACTGACTTATGTGGCTATTTGCGCATTATTCGTAAAACAGTTAACATTTTTAACAGTGCGGACTGAATACCTGGCCAATAGATAAAAATCATTGTGAAACTAATTTGTCGTTTGTGTGTATGACATTGGTCAGTTTAACTGCTAAGCGGTACCAATCAATGTGGTTGATCGGTCAGTAGTGTGGCTTTTAAATGTACTTTCGTATTGACTCTAGTACCTAGCCGCACGATCCTTGAAGTTGAACATAGAAAAGGCTAGCCTTTGGACAACTGTAGAACGTCAGAATTTATAACCACAAAGACACTTAATAGAGATATCATTGCTCGACAATGCAGGCTTGGTCATTCTACGTGGCCTCAACCATTTTGCATCATATATACTATTCCATCCCCAGACCATATGTGTCCTTGAAAGGTTAATGAAAAGCATATTGCTGACTCACAACAGAACGAATAAGTATGGATAGTAATGTAACTTCTACATGAGATCATATAGATTAGGTATTCAGTATGGCAAGTTCATAATATTAGAATTACCTTTTGTTCTAGTGGTATGGATAAGTGCACCAATACAAACCAAAACGTCAGTCATATACTTTGCCTTAATTTATTGATCCCTCTAGTAATGACAATTCATAATCGTTATGTTAACCTTATGTAAACTTCTGGTATCGAGATCCGCTGTACTGGAGAGCCGTTAATGCTAGGTTGCAATCGCGTCCCCGGATGAGATCTGTTCATCCTAGTAATATGATGGTGCTGCAACACAGTTGGTTAACACCAGATTTATTGACAATTTCAATCCACATTTCGTTTTTGGCGGGAAAAAGTTTTGGGGGTACATTTCCCTTAGATTACTTTCTTAAGTATTTTAGTTAAAGATCCAAAGATTGTTAACACTGAAATAACACCTTGTTATGCAAGGCAACTCATAGTTTGAACTTTTTTCGACACATTCTCAATACATACTGAGCTTCTGTTGCATATCTGGATATTGTGAGTGACAGTCCTTGTCCAGTCTAACAAAGTATCATATTTTAGAAATTTATGATTCTTTGGAGTGTTCAAAGTGGATCTGATATCATGTACTCGGGCTTGTCCAATGCTCTGATTGCATCGCATCCTTGTTTGCCTTCTCAATTTCGTGAAGCGAAATTATTAGTGGCCTCATATGGGACGCAGGATTCTTCATGGAGATTCGATGAAGAATCAGTTGTCCTCAGTAGCAATGCCTGAGGGGTCTGATTTTCGTGAGGATACCTGTTACTCTGAAGACTCGTATTAGGTTAGATTGGACTGCATCACTTCTAGCAAACCAATTTGTTATCGAGTTGTGAGATGAAACACGACTTTCATCGTTGGTCCAATATTGACTGTAGTGGCAAAATTGACAGATGACATAGAGTTTCTGGGATTTACTTGGAGATTTTTCGAAAGTTTTCTATGATTCTTTTTAATTCACTGAGGAGTGTAGTGGGCGTATTTCATCTGCATTTGTGATATACTTCATTCACTCACTCTTTAAAGTCCCTTGAAGCAAGTTTTGGATTGTATTCAGGTGAAGATGTTTCAGCAGAGAAATCAATTTCGAAAAAACTAACTTCCATGTCTATTGTGAATAAATTATCCAATAGTACTGCTATCAGCTATTAGGGGACCACAAAACTGTGAAAATATCTCATTCGGCTTCAAAATACAGAGCAACCAATAATATTAGGACTATAATTTATGAGCGACACTTAAATGACTTCGAGACAACTCACATTGAGTCAAAAAGGGTTGTTTTTATAACTTCCCTTCTTACAACCCAGCTATTTCTATTGATCAGTATTCTTGAACACCAGTTCACTCGACAAGTCCCCAGATCAGAACACGGTTGAACAAGAACAAAGTTATCTCCAAATTAGCAGGGGTAGATGAAAGTGGGAAGATTCTAGAGCCTTCCGAAGTATCGATTAATGCTGATCGGATAAGAAGTGTCCAATCACTGTAAACTGACACAATCGTGCACGGGACGTACTTTAGTACACTTTCTCAGGAAGAGTTATTAGTTATAATTTAGGCTTATTTATTCAGCCAAGGCTTTTCATCCTGAACTAACATTAGCTGTAGTCCTGAAACGCCATTTGACCACATGAAATTCCACCAAAATACAAGACTTGCTGTCCTTAATCTCCCATACAATTTGGCGAGCTACTGCGTTCCATTCAGATACGTTTATGCTCTTGAGAGTTCTGTAAACTAAAGCGAGGTACTTTAAAACGAAGGATGACTTTAAACTTATGCGTGTATCTGTATCCAGAATTCCATTTATTCAAGATGTTTTAGGCTTTTACACATCTACGTGATTATGAATAATGGCTTACGAAACAGTTGTATGTTATAACGAATGACATGTAAGGTAGTCGGTTTAGATCTGGCCAAGAAAATTAAAATAATTCATTGGTATCTAAATGTTCTGTCTGGTCTTATGTTCATCAGTGAGCTTGTAGTTGTGTTCGTTGTGCATTTAAGTACTCAACCTCATAATCACCCCCTGCTTTTACTTGTTCTAGTGACCTATACTCTAATATGTAAGGGAAACGAATTAACCTCCGGGATTTGTGGCAGAGAGTAGGGAAAGAAGTGTGGAAAATTACATGCAAATAATGAATTACGTATACAAATTTATAGTCAGGATCGAGATGCAGCTTCCTTAAGAAACACAGTGTTGAGACACGTGTTGCTTCGCAAAGAGATCTGTTGTTAATAGACCATGCAATGAACAATTAGGGTATCTGCTACTTCTTTTTTAAAATTGATCGTATTTGAAAAAATTGTCTGAAGTTCGAACGACCGCGTTTGGGTTGTTTAGCAAAGGTGTCTTTTGGTATTGACAACAAAAGTACTTAAAGACCTCACCTCGTGTTAGCATCATAATTTTTCTGTAATTCAAAGTGACTGTCGATTTTAACAGCGTAGAATACCGAAAAAATAAATAAACCTCACTTTGTCCCTTTGTAATATCCACTAAGGTTTCAAAGCATGATAAGTTGAAGGTTAAACATCTAGGAATGATATCTGATCATCCTGATGGAAACCAGGAGCGTATAGATGCAGAGGAAACGTACATGTGTACCAACCAAGTAAACTCATTGTAGAAATTGTTTGAAAAACTTAACAAAACGAAATAATTGTCTTGTGGACATTTTCAGCAGTAGTTTGACCCCAGCTTTTTGGCCATTCACTTTTAGTTTTAGTGTTAACAAATTTGCATCTGATATTCCTCATCAAGCGAAACTTACAAGGAAATACCGAAACATCCTAAGAACAGAACAAGTTATATGTTGACTGTCTATCAACTTGCCAGTCGAATCCTAAAATGATGAAACGCTTGTTTGAACACATGGTTGCATTTCTGTCTATCAAATGGTTGTGGACGGAATAGAAGAAGCTTTCGCTTAACGGGCTTCCGTGTCTAGTAGCAGTAGATCACCAATACCTCCAAGCAAGAACCTAGGTATATTAACGATATTAGAGGAAAAAAGAGTCTGGTACATCATAATAACATGCTATCCCTTGTCCTTAAGAACGGGTCAAGTTTCCTCTTAAAGGACTCCTTAGAAGTTTCTTGGACTAGCTCAGTAGGCAGCGACTTTCAGCATTTGACATCTCTTACGGTGTAGAAGTTATGTCTACAGTCTGTTCTGCTATGTTGGGTCTCCAGTTTCTGGGTGTTGCCTCTTAGGTTAGTGTTGTGACGAAGCTTAAGAAGATGTTTAAGGGAAAGACCAGAAGTGTTAAGGATACTGTAAGTCATAAGAAGGTCACCCTTAGCACCCCTGTACACCAACGGGTAAACGTTTAGTGATAGGAGGCGCTCTTCACAAGGTTTGAATTTGAGTCCCCAAACTGATTTCGTGGCACGACGTCGAATACGTTCCAGAGTGTCCTTATCCTTTTGGAGAGAGGGTGGAAATACGATGTTTCCGTATTCAAAATGAGGATGAATAAAACTTTTGAAGATTATGTCGTATGTTCTACCGTCAAACTGACCAAAAATGCGCTCCAACGTTACCAGTGCAAAGTTTGCTTGAAAGGCGTTTTTGTCACAGTTAGCGTACGACTTCAAGTCATAGGGTACCAACCGTCCTAAATCTTCTTCGACTTTTGAAACTTCTAGAGAGGAGTTTCCTAAGTTGTAACTATAGTCTGCAACATGTCGCAGATTGACTACTGTGCACTTTGAAATGTTGAAGATAAGTCCGTTGTTGTCTGCCCAACTTTGAAGTCGAGTCAGATCCTCCTGAAGTGCTAGTATATCCTTATGGTTACGTATCTCGCTCCAAAATTTCACATCAGATGAAACTTCTTGATGAAAATCGGTAATGTAAATCAAAATCTTGGTATTGAGCCCTGGGGGACCCCACTAAGACATTCCATAGCCTGAGAGAAAGTGAAGTTAACCCTGACCTAGATATGATACAATCTAGATATGAGTTGGGCCAGTCAATCAGAAGTAGTTTAGTGCCCAATCGTCTAAGCTTATTGATAAGACACATATGGTTGACCCTAGCAAAAGCTTTTGAGAAATCAAGGTAAATAATGTCAACCTTCCCCTTGTGATCAAGGATGGTTGTCCATCTATCCACCGCAGTCAGCAGGTTGGTCATACAAGAATGGACCTTCCAGAAACCATTCTGTTGGGGTGAGGAAAACTTTAAGAATAATAAGTAGTTGTGTATACCATAGCATATCAGGTCTCCATAATTTTTGAAGGTATAGAGAGAACTGCTGTCGTCCTGTAGCCTAAGGTTTCGCTGCGTCGATCTCCTTTGAAAATTGTTGTGATGTGAGTCAGATTCCAAATTTCAAGCAAAGTGTCACGGCTTAGAGAGTGTGAAAACATCACGCTAAGCGGTATTCCCAATATCGAAGCTGCTTCCCTCGGTATAGCAGAAGGGACCATATCCACACCTGGAGAAGTGTCTTTTCTTATGTGCTGCAGTTTACGGAGCACCAGGTCATCGCTCAGGTCCACTTAGGAAAGTTCTGTATAAGTGCAATTGAAGCTTTCGTCAGTGTAGTTGATGTGGGTTGGTTAGCAGCATCCCCGCCGTTATTGGTCGGACCACTAGTACTTGGCAGTTGAGAAACTCCAGTTTTGCCTTGTTGAAGAGAAGCTGCGTAACGGAATTAGCTTTTCGGATTGGAGACAAATTTATCGATAAGCTTGGTCTGGTACTGAAGCCTGTCTTCTCATATTGCCTTTGTGCATAATTTCCTTATACGTTTGTATCGCATACACGCGCCGTTGTTATCAGTTCACTTATATTCAGCGTTACAGTGCCTTTTGCGGTCTAACAAGCGAAGAGTGCGGTTTTTGATGATTGTGGGTGTTTGTAGCTTATTGCGACCGTTAGAGAAATTGAATGCTTAGTAGCACATAAAAGCGTGTGCAGTAAGAAATCCCAATGAGCATCGACTTCAAGTTGAGGGTGAACATCCCAATCCACCTGTTGTACATAGTCATGTAAAGGTAACACATTCACCCGTTTGAAACTCCAACGTCTGTTGTTGGTGAGATATCTTAGCTCAGTTTTGCTGACAGAACTGGAGGATAAAACGACGTGATTGTTTTTCCCCAGGGGAGCCAGAGTTGAGAAGTCGTCGACTGGGAATTCTCCATTTGTGAATACTCAGTCTAAGCGCAACGGCGTTTGTTTGTGTCTCCAACAAGTTGCCGAGCTTCAGTAGAGTTGTCACCTCGAATGTAGGTATGTTCTACGCAGTTGATTCTAGGAAGATTGAAGTCCCCTAGAATCAGGATATGAGAGAATACAAAACTCGTAGAGCGGGTTAATCCTTCCAGCAAACGATTGTCACACTCGATGTCAGCAGTGGGCTTCTTGTAGATGACCCCAACTAGGCACCTTGAGGTGGCAGACAATCTTACTGAGCACCATACTGATTCATCAAGATTGAGAAACTCTTGTTTGTGAAGTTGGTGCACCTCCAGGCATGATCTTATGTATAGTGTCACCCCAACCCCCATTCCAGTTTTCCTGTGGTTGCGAAACAAAGATATTCCAGGTACCGATAACTCGTGGTCCGTAAACTGAGACGATATCCAAGTTTCAGATATTTCTATCAGATGAGTATCATTAACGTTGCTAAGTTCGCGCAGCTCATCCATTTTGTTTGGCGAACTCGCGGGGTTCATTTATAAGCAGTTTATGCTTTAAATTTGTAACACGTGAGTTTCTTCCTGTGTGTCTATATGAGCCTTACGTGGGTAGACATGTAGCCTTCCTATACACGATTGACCGAATTGGTAGCTTCTGTCCTTTACACGTTTCTTATTACCAAGATATTTCACTAGTGGAATTGTCAGCTCCAGCTTGCGTTTGTGCTTGATCTTGTTACAGTGTGGTCCGGATGCATATAGATGCCAGATGGCAAACGACGTCTGTTGCGGCGAAATGCTTCCAGAGTTACAGCCGCCATATGGGAGTATGGGAAGGTTATCTCCATTAGCTGGGGTCTAGAGTCTCCGTTTTTCTTGGCTAGATTCGTCACCTGATGGCTCAGTATGTTTTTGAGTTTCAAGGAATGCTTGATGAATTTCCATTTCGGAATATCCGAGTTTGCTTGATCTTGGTCCATATTTTCTGGTACATCTTGCACAATGATATTTCTTCCGCGGAAAAACGCCTCTCGAGATTCTTCAGGGGTTATCCGGATGAGATTTTGCTCAGAATATGTTTTGTCTGGCAGTATTCTTACGTTCCAATCAGATTACAGTAAGTGACTCGCTGGCAGGACGTCCTCTACATCGAAAGCATTCTTGAATGTTACACGAAGTAGCTCCGGGTGATTTTGATGGTTAGAGTCTTTCTACCGACTGAGCTGTGTGACCGTCAAAGGCTTTATTCTAGGAAGTTCAAGCTTCTTGTTCGTACCCTCCAGAGCATCCTGTCATTTTTGTCCTGCAAAGTGAGGGGAGGGTCAGGATTGTCTTTAAGGTTCATAATTATGGGAACCGTTATTGATTTCTCAGGTTTTTCAGTGAGCCTATGTTCGGCACCTTGTTGTTTGGAGGTCAAAGAGCGTTTTCAATCGCTAGGCTCGTTGATGACTGGGTAGACTGTGCAGCCAAATAACCAATTGACTTCCATACAATAATTGTGATGTTCAGATTAGACTGTGACGCCTGGTTCTTTTTAATCCTGTTAACCTGGGTCCAACCACCTTTAGGGTTTTTGAGAACCACCGTTTCATTCAATGACTCTGCGCTGGGAGACCCAAATTTATTGAAGGAGTCAATGTTAAGATGGTGCTGAGTTTCAGCATGTCATCATTAGTGCTTTTACCTGCACCATCGATAGTAAACCTGTCGATATTTCTCTTCTTGTTAACGCTGCGCGTTACCGTTTTGCTATCCGTTGTATTGCAGTCATTTACCAAGTTTTTAGACAACTTGTTTCTCAGACCTGTCAGTAAGGTTATGATGTTACTAAGCAAATCTACAGTCTCCGTGTTGCACATGAGGAGTCTGCTATAGGCTGTTGATGTTAGATCTGTGCACACTTCTCTCTTTTTCGAGCTGAAAATAAATGGAGGCTCAAGTGTACATTGTACTGTGTTTAGCACCATAGAAATAAACCGCGGGTGTCTCGAACCACCCTTCTTGTATCGTCAGTAATACGGTGCTATATACACGACCGTTTGTTTAAAATTATTGATCGATTAGTTTGTTAATCAATACCTTTAACTAGGCAATTTCAGCTAGTTAGAGGCCAATTGAGCAGAAGATATATATGTCTCTCATCTTGGGATTTATCCAACGGCAGTTATCACAGCCAAGTGATCGACTTGCTCGCTGTACTATTCATATTGCAACATAGTAACTTGTATTTAATAAATGGAAAACATCCTTTCTCAGTTAACGACGCTAAGATGGATCAAAAAAGTTCTAGCCATTTGATTCCTCATGAAGTTCTTATGCGGTATGGTGGAATGTAATGATGATGCAACGGATATTCTAGTTTTTCAACTAGATACCAGTAGCACCTTCTAAATTCGGTTGTTACCAGTCAGATAGAAATCAGAAGTCGGACGAGAATAGGCAGGAAAGATATATTTGATTCGTTACCAATATATCGAGGACTTTTTCTATGAGCTGGCTAATGAAACGTAGGAGCTGTGTCCCACGCAGTATTGAAACGTGATCTGGTGCGGATGCATGACCGAAAGCCTTCAGCTAAACAAGTCCACTTAAACAACGTGGTCAGCATCCAATGTCGAACACTTAATGAGCTATTGATTTTGGGGAATTATTTACAGCTACAGATCACTCCCCCCCTAGTGAGGTAGTGATGCCCCTAAGACGTGACCAGCCAGAAGTTTAAACCCAACGAATTTGTCGTTGGTAAACACTCTTCTGATAGCTTGCTTCGTTTAGCAGCGTCTGGTCGTCTTTCCTCAAACTATGGGACCAAAATGTACAACGTAGCAATAAAGAAATATAGTACAATGAAAATTTCTGTTCCTTGCGAAACTTCGTCGTTCTTTTCCAGCCGTCCTGGAAAAGAGGAAAAATAAAACGTGTGAGTGCATGTCAAAAATACACTCGTACTTGCGTAAGGACACAAGATGAGCGGAAAAAAATAAACTGATACACTTACAAACAGCGTAAAAGCGATCGGAAAAAAGGTTTTCTTTTGGTTTTTTTTTAATATATAAATATATATATATATACGCTCAAAAAAATGTTGTTTTTTTGTTTTTTTTACATAAATAAAAAAATGAGCATATTAAAAAAAATTTATAATAAACTTTGAAAGGGTAATTCAAGATAAAGCTTATGTCCTACGTGCAATATTCGTTAAGATGTTCTGGAAATCTTACTCGTCTTCCAGAACGCGTTGTTTTAGATTTTTCTATCGACGTTGACGAAGTATCAAGTTGTGTGTCGGTTGTTGTGTAGGGTACTACGAGTGTAGTAGCTGTGTCGTTTGCTTGTACCGAAGGAAAATCGACGTAGCTAGGGTTTCCTTCTAGGTACGCAGCTTTGAGTCGATCGATACTGATGCTATCTTTCGTACCGTTCTTGTCGACTACATAGTACTTAGGTTCGCGTTGAAGAACTTTGAAGGGTCCTTCGTATGCTGATTCGAGGGGTCGTCGATGTGAGTCTCGACGAACGAAGACGTGTGTACTATGTCGTAGTTCGGGTTGAACGAAAACATCAGTTGATTGAGGTCGAGTGTGAGCAGGTTTAACTGAACGCATAGCGTTTGTAAGCCTACTCGTGTAAGAGTTTAGATCCATGTTCAATGAAGAAGCTGAAGGATCCACGAATTCTCCTGGGAGTCGGAGTGTCGTTCCGTAAACGAGTTGAGATGCCGTGTATCCAATGTCAGCTTTCACTGCATTGCGGATACCTAGCAAGACGAGTGGAAGAGCGTCTGTCCACTGTGAAACGTTTGAAGCTGATAATGAAGCTTTTAATTGTCGATGAAAACGTTCTACCAACCCGTTTGCTTGTGGGTGGTAGGCGGTAGTTCGGAAGCGCGTGATTCCTAAAAGTGTGGTCAGACAACGGAAAAGTCCAGATTCGAACTGGCGTCCGCGGTCTGTAGTGATGGTTGAAGGGCAGCCGAAATTTGCTACCCATCGTTCGACGAAAGTGCGAGCCACTGTTTCAGCAGTAATGTCCTTAATCGGTACTGCTTCTGGCCATCGAGTAAAACGGTCTACGCATGTTAGGAGATATGAGTATCCGTTCGAGTCGGGTAAGGGTCCTACCAAATCTAGATGGACGTGGTCGAAACGAGCGTCAGGGGTTTTGAAAGAACCTAAGGGACATTTGTTGTGTCTGATTACCTTAGATTTCTGACAGCTTACACAGGAGCGTGACCACTCCCTCACGTCTTTATTCATGCCAGGCCAACAAAAGCGTTCGGCTATAAGTTCGATTGTTGCACGAGCACCTGGATGAGAAAGATTGTGCAACGTATTGAAGACGTTGCGGCGATAGTGTTTTGGTACAATTGGACGATCCCTACCTGTAGATGTGTCACAGAGTAAGGTTTCCTTACCTGTTCCCATCTGCCTAATACTTAGTTTAAGAGTTGTCGAGGATAACTCATGCTGAAGATCAATGTCTTCTTTTTGAAGCTGAGCGAGTTTAAGAAGGTCGATTCCTTGGAAACTGTTCAAGGAGCTAATTCGAGACAAGGCGTCTGCGACTACATTGTTTGCTCCAGAAATATGTTGTATGTCTGAAGTAAACTGCGAAATGTAGTCGAGTTGTCGAGACTCTCTTGGTGAGTACTTGTCTGAAGATGAACTTAAAGAGAAGGTAAGAGGTTTGTGATCGGTAAAGAGCGTGAATTCTCTTCCTTCGATGGAATGTTGAAAATGCCGTACAGCACAATACATAGCTAGGAGTTCCCTACCGAACGTGCTGTACCTAGATTCAGCGTCTAGCAACCGTCTCGAGAAAAATCCTAAAGGTTGCCACGAGTTGTTAACCCATTGTTGTAAGACTGCTCCGATTGCTGAGTCGGATGCGTCTACGGCGATACTAATGGGCGCTTGACTGTCCTGATGAGCAAGCAAGGTTGCTTTAGCGATGTGTTCCTTAACTGTGGAAAATGCTTTACGGGCTGTGTCGTCTAAACTAATTGATTTCGCATTTCCACGAAGCTGATCGGTCAACGGTTTCATTAGGGATGCGCATTTAGGTATGAACCGTCTATAGAAACTTACGAATCCGTTGAAAGTTCGTAACTGCTTGATCGTGGTCGGTTCTGGGTAATCCAGAATGGCCGCCACTTTGCTCCTAAGGGGTCGGATGCCTTGGGCATCAATGGTGTGTCCTAAGAAGTCTAAGCAGTTAGTTCCGATTTGGCATTTCTGAATGTTGACAGTAATGCCATGCCTTTGAAGTCGATCGAAAACAATGTCCAGATGCTTGAGATGCGATTCTCTGTCCGGACTTGCTATTAGACAGTCATCAACATACGCATGTACGAAGTTGAGACCTCGGAAGACGTCGTCTATAAACCTTTGGAAGGTTTGAGCCGCGTTTCTTAAACCAAAAGGCATTCGTAGAAATTCGTAAAGACCGAAGGGAGTGATGATGGCGGTTTTAGGAATGTCGTCAGGTGCCATCGGGATTTGGTTATAAGCTTTAACCAAGTCGATTTTCGAAAAGACAGTTGTACCTTTCAAGGTAGCTGTCAAATCGTGAATATGAGGCAGCGGGTAACGATCGGGAATGGTTTTAGCATTCAGACGCCGATAATCACCAGTTGGCCGCCAATCATTGCTGTCCTTTTTAGGGACCATATGCAATGGGGATGCCCATGGACTATTCGATGGTCGAATTATTCCTAGGTCCATCATGTGGTTGAATTCGTTTTTAGCTAACCTAAGTTTTTCGAGAGCGAGTCTTCGGGCTTTCGAAAATACAGGTGGTCCTGTAGTCGAGATGTGATGTGTAACATTGCTGGTTACACAAGGTAATTTCGATTGCGATTGGTATATCCCGGGGTATTTGTCGAGTACTGCTTGGTACAAGGGGTCTATGGCGTGCTTAATCGTGACTGGGGATAACCTGCAACCAGAACAAGGAGTTACGCAAACGGACAACTTAGTGTTTCCGTCTACTAACCTTCGTGAGCGTGTGTCGATGAGTAGATTGTGGTGTTGTAACAGGTCAATACCAATGATTGGCATAGAGACATCTGCAACCACGAAAATCCAGTGTATGGGTTTACGTAAACCCACGTTAAGGTAGACGTACCTTTTACCGTAAGTAGCGATCGGTTTTCCGTTTGCCGCCTGTAAACTTAAAACAGACTCGCGAAGTCTGTCGTCGAGATTTGCTGGAAGAACGCTAACTTCTGCGCCAGTGTCGACGAGGTAGCGAACTTTCGTAGTCACATCCGTGACATATAAGAGGCGGCTGTGTTCGCCGGCTACGGTTGCCGTTAACGCGTGCCGGCTGGGAAGTTTCCCGAACTGTTTTTCGTGTCACTAGATTTTGGGGTCGGATAATTACAAGGTTTCCTGCAGTTTCTGGAAAACTTACCGTACTGGTTATGATACCAGCACCAGTCGGGATTGTCTGTCTCTCGTGGTCGAGAGCCAGATCGCTTACGTGAGGCGCTTCTACGCGGGGTTTTTGACCGACTACGGTCATTGCGAACTCTAAGATATCGTGTAAGCGTGTGACATAGTTCGGCCATGTCAGTCGAGGTCGATTGGGGTTTTTCTTTGACGGAAAAAACCTCGGCCTTAGAAGATCTAGTGATTTCCAAGATTCGATCGGCAGATGCAGCTAGTTCATCTATGGCATTGTTTTGAAATGAGACAAGCACTGCCTGCACCTGTTGAGGGAGTTTAGACAAGAAAAGTTGTCTAAATAGGCCATCATCGAAAGTTCGTTGGCCGATGACTTCTTTCATTCTAAGCAACATGTCCGTCGCAGAACCATGTTGCAAGTCGATATTTTTAAGGAGTTGGTCTAACCGTTGTCGATCAGTTAGGTCTCCTCGTTTTAAAATCGATAGCTTAAGCGATTCGTAAGGTTCGGAAACATCACTAGTAAACATACTAGGTGTTACGTACCTGTTAAACTCGCGCGGTAACGCCTTAACTACCGCGAGGAAACGTGTGCGCGAGTCCGTGATTCCGTGCATGCAAAAATCGGCTTCTGCATAGCAGAACCAGGACTCGATATTGTCGGGCCAAAATGGCGTTAACTGAATCGAAATAGGGGGAATAGACTTAACTTAATAACCTTGGGTGAGTGTTCCGTCATAGTAATATAGATATCGAAAAATGTCTAAGTAAAATATATCCGAGAAAAAAAATTCGCGAAAAAAGTATATCACAATATATAAAATTCAAATAAAGAATAACAATGAATAATAATGTTCCAAAATGGAACAGACTCACAGTATATTGACTTGGTGTACCAGATCACGTCGGGCTCACCAATGATGATGCAACGGATATTCTAGTTTTTCAACTAGATACCAGTAGCACCTTCTAAATTCGGTTGTTACCAGTCAGATAGAAATCAGAAGTCGGACGAGAATAGGCAGGAAAGATATATTTGATTCGTTACCAATATATCGAGGACTTTTTCTATGAGCTGGCTAATGAAACGTAGGAGCTGTGTCCCACGCAGTATTGAAACGTGATCTGGTGCGGATGCATGACCGAAAGCCTTCAGCTAAACAAGTCCACTTAAACAACGTGGTCAGCATCCAATGTCGAACACTTAATGAGCTATTGATTTTGGGGAATTATTTACAGCTACAGTAAGTTAGTTTTCACTGTGATGTTGCTAGAACCAATGATCATAAGAACCATCTGTACAGTGAAATGGATTCATTGAATCTCGTGTATATACCAAGCTTCCTGAGGTCACAAGGATCTGGTGTTAAACGTTTGTGTGTGTACTTCATATCATAATATGTAAATGTAAGATTCGATATATTGTAGATCAGTATGGTGTCTGTCAGTCTCCAAGAGATTTCAACGGCCAAATTTATGAATATTTCGTCTGCCCTACATTGCTAAATGTGAAGTTTAGCTCTTTCGAGAGCGAGCAAAGATTTTGTTGTGGAGCCCCTCCACAGCAATATTGTTGTACGTCCACCCAGTTCTCGTAAGTCATGCCTTCTGTTTGGATGTTTGGTAGTCTCGAAGACCAACTTTAGTATTGTTGATATCATCTTATACCTTGGATTTTTATAATGTTAAATCAGGGTTGTATATCACAGTATACTCTCACGTGATATTAAGGTAGCCTGGTATTACGCCATGATTATTAGAAGTACTCAAACTAATAAGGTGGTTAAAGACTTACAATATAGTGATATCTGAGGCGAGTAGGACTAAACGCAATCAAATACAAAGGAATCATTAGTTAGTACAAATACCACATTGCTTTGTGCACGATATTAATAAATTGACTAAAATTTCTAATTTCATTATTTGTGTGACTTTGTTTCTGTTTAAGGAAGCATTCTAACCAGACCTCTTGATACATTTTACCTTCAGTATTAAATGCGAAACACTCATTTCCTTGCTGGTATAATGATGGTTCATTTAAAAAGGCTTTTGTCTATCCAGCTACTCAATGCATTCCAAAGTCTGACAAACATGGCTTTTTAATTTCATGCGTAATCAACAGCTTGTATACATGCTGGTTTCCATCTCCGTAACCGCTAGAAAAATGAACGCAAGTTTCGTAAGATATTATTCAGTAGTTTTATCTACGAAATATGCAAATAGAATTGTTCTTTATCAGAGTTGGAGTAACTAGGTTTTTTTCCATAACTCTATGATTTTTATGTTCATAAGTCTGATAATATTGTGATAAAGATTCACAAATGTTCTACAATTAGGTGAGCTGCCTTGTCTTATTTGCAAAATATTTAGACTTATGGACAAACTATTTGGATTTTAGTGCTTTAAGGATGCAATCGTAATATGAAAAATATCAAGTACAGATTCACATACTTAGCTTTGAACTATGACTTTTGTGAGGGATGTCTAAATGAAAGTATATGGGGTGGGATTTAACACTTTATGGTCAGAAACTTGCCAATAAAGTAACCTCGAAACGTGAGTCAAAACAGTAGTCGTGAGAACAACCTAGTTAGTGCACATTGACTTTCAATCATTTTGTGACATGATTTAATAGTTTTATGTTATCAGTATTCACTTCACCACCTTTGTCCATAAAATCTCATCTCTGTTCACTATTTAGTGAAGCTGGTCCATAGTATTAGATGAAGAATGTGTTATATGCTAATCATTTTTGTCTGATATTCAGCTTGCCAATGAAGAAAAAACCCACTAGAAATCTTTATAAACGTATTTGGCATGTGTAATCATTTGTTTAAAATCTCTATTTTGCTTTTCTAAAACTTAATAAGTCATTAAAAATCCTTTGACAACAACCAAGTTCATTTTTAACTGCCAATTCTTTAAAATTCATAAACTCCACGATCATTCTCTTCAAACTGAAATCAAAAAATATATATAGCTTAGTTATACTCATTTAATTGCTTTACTCCATACTCAAATGAGTTGTGTAGTATTTTACATCCTATTATGTTCTTATATTGTATTAATTTTACTTGTAGATCGGGAATTCATATCGTGCAGTAAGTTACTACAGATATAAATTTGAAACTTTTCATACTTATGACTTTACATAAAATATCGAATGTTTTTGCTTTATAAGATATATATTCAATTTTTTAAGGAGTAACTTCGTAAATTTGGTATTGTTTCTAAAATAGTTCACAAAATGTACTGTCAGCGCACAGCGAAAGACTACTGATAAATATCGAGCAAAACAGACCATATTTAGTTTTGGAATTTATCGTAATGCGGAAACTGTTACTTTTGTATTTTTACGGTTGAGTGAAAAATCCGTATCAAAGAAATGATGTCAGACCAGTCGACATACAAGAAGTTTAATCCCCCTTACTGACGAAAATGTAGCAAAACTTAATTTTACTTTGTTGGATTGTTTTTATAAATGTGTTAACATTAGAATAGCGCAAACACCATTTCGGCCAAACATGAGATTTAGTCAAATACTTAGTTCTTAAGGTAGAAGTTATTTACTCTTAGGACTTATGAAGGTTGAATAGTGATACAACGTTTATGACGAAAAATTAGTGTAGAAAGGTTAAGTTCTTTTTTCTTGTCCGTTAATTTACTAACTACTGGTTGTTGTCTTTAGAAAAAATATTAAAACATATACATATTGTCAATTGACTTACCACCGTTTGTTTGGTGCTGGTTTGAAACTTTGTTAAAAAATTATATATTCGTGTAGACCAGTGCCTTGACAAGAAACTAACTGAAAAGAAATATTTCTCCTTTCAACTTGTATTTTTAGTTTTTTAATGAGAGTATTTTGTAAACAGTAATAGTGTATGGTATGCATATAATAGAAAATGGAGTGATTTATAGTTACTAATTTAATACACGTGTTGAAGGTTAAGAGAGATGTTATAAACGTAGAAGATGCTTGTTATAACTTGGGGGTTTCTGTTATAACAGTCCTTTCACTTCTCACACGTATGTGGGACGTTAAATTACCTTAGACGAATATCTACACTAGATTCCCACCCAGTGTCTATTCTACAGGACATCAACACAACTCAGATCAAGAACACGAGATTAGCCTGACCACAACGTAAATATATTTCCACACCAAAATCCGACACAAAAAACAGTCAATCAATAAGTGTCCATCAACAAGGAACAGTCCATACATAATAAGGATAGGGGAATGTATATAACACACATAACACCTGTCATCCTATCTAATGTCTGACTTATCAAGACAACCAGTCACTGTCATTCTCGCCCACACATCACCTCCCTCGCGAAGTTCGATCGTATGCTTTCACTTTGGGGTCTATTTGAAAATTTTTTGTTTGTTTCCGTCCTCTGGATGACCTTCGTTTAACTTCTGATTTCAGATCATTTTTTATCATTTCAACTTGTGATGGTGGTGGTGGAATATTAAACGTATCACATAATACTTCCATTGGTAATGGTTTGAGTTTAGATGACTCATAAACATTTCTTCTATCTCGCAGTTGATTTACATGTCTAATAATTAGTGTATTTTCGACCATCGCTTCATATAATACTGTACCACGTCGTTTTTTTTATAAACCCAAATATCCATTTTGGCTTGCCAGGCCGGAAATCCCGTGCATAGACTGAGTCACCTACTTTGAATTCTCGAATTTTCGGGCAATTCCCTTTCTTATTTTTTTGTAGTCCACTCATTCTGTCTTTCGGGATCAAAACATCAAAAAATGTTCTGATCGGTCGGCCTAACATTATTTCGGCTGGTGATTTCCCGTCTCGACAGTTCGGACTTGGCGTAATTCTATAAGAAATGAGGAATTGTTGCAGAGCCTCTTCTACGTTGCCTTCTCCTCCCATCTTTGAGAGAGCTCGCTTAAGTATATCAACAAATTTCTCTGCTTGCCCGTTAGACTTAGGGTGATACGGTGGAATTCTAATGTGTTCGATTCCATTCTGTTTACAGAACTTCGCAAACTCTAACGACGTGAACTGGGTTCCGTTATCTGAAACCAAAACATTAGGTGTACCAAACCTACCAAATAGTTGTCTCAGATGTAGCGGTGTTTCAGACGTAGATGGTCTTCGTACCACATAAAGTTCAGGCCATTTTGAGTATGAATCTACCACCACCAAAAAATATTGTCCTCTTATAGGTCCAGCATAATCAACGTGTAGTCGGACCCAAGGTTTTGTTGTTTCTGGCCATGGCTGGGATTCTACTTTCGGTTGATCTTTTGCAACTTCGGCACATCGCCGACATCTCACTACGTATTCTTCCACAGCCTTATCCATGAATGGCCAATAGACATAACTACGCATAACTGCTTTCATTCTGTTCATTCCTGGATGACCAGTGTGAAACTGTTTAAGCACAAAAAGCTGAAGATATTTAGGGATAACAACACGATCGCCATACATTAAACAGTTATCACAAATCGATATAGACTCACGTCTCAGGAAAAATTGGTGAAACTCTCGATCAGCTTTATCCTCTTTCCAACCCTTTAAAACAGCTTGTTTTATTCTTTTAAGTAGAGGATCACTAGCCGTGGCTTCTTTAACAGCTTCCGTCGTTACTGGTAGGATTCTGATAGCATCACAGAACACTCTTTTTATTTCCGGTTCAAGTGATTTAGAAGCAACCACTATATCTTCCTCTAACTTGCGGTTATGTGCTATTACTTTTAAAGTCTGTATCTTATTTCCTTTACGAAACGTATGCTGATGGTCAGAAACCTTTGGTTTACTTTTACAACGTACTTGAGCATGACCATATTTACCACATTGAAAACATACTCATTTTTTAAAGTAGCAAACATTGGTAGAATGACACTTACCACATCGCCAACATGACGTTTTAGGTTTCACTTGGTTTGGGATTTGCTGGGAGTTCGAATCTTTATTTCCATTAAAAGATTTACGTAAAGCATTAATTCCCACGTGTTCACTGTTCCTTTCTACGAGATTCGTGTCATGCTTCAAATTAACCATTCTTTGACAATCTTCGGATACTGATTGTAGACTGATATTAGGATCTTGTTCGATTCTCGCTAGAATTCGTGTTCTAATATCTGCATCTACTGGAGATTGTAATCCACATACAAAAATAAGGCACTTGAATTGATCTGAGGACATTTCTTGTAAACGGAACCGCTCACATTCCCGGTTCACGGTAGTTGCATACGTTACATAATCGTCCTGTACTTTCTTTACAAGTTGAAGACACTGGTATCTAGTGTGAAAAATTGATGACCGTTCTCCATGTAAACGTGTCAGGCATTCAACTGTTTCTTTGAACGTTATGTCGGTTGGCTTTTTTGGGAGGATAAAATTACAGAATTTTTCATGTTCGAACACTCCGAGCTTTCGTAATAATAATCTCAGTTTTGAAATTTCGTCCCACTCTTTACATTCATTAATAAACAAATCCTCGTGACGTTTAAACCACGCCTCAAAAGTAACTCCACTTTCTGGATCAAATCTAAATTCAGTTATTGAGTTTGCAATAGTATCCGGAGTCATAGTGAAATTAGACACATTCGTTCTTGAGGATGTCGATATATTTTTTGACTAATAATTCGATAAGAGTATTTTGCTGTTGCAATAAGGTTTTCAGATCATCCATTTTGTTATAAAATTCACTTTAACTGAATATGTAAGCGTAGATCCGTTTTAATCACCATCGCCAATTGTTATAAACGTAAAAAGAGAAAAATCACGAAATCTTAGGTAGTTGTAGATAGTCGACGAGAAACTCTGAGCCTGGTTTTCTTTCTGTGTAGCACATATTAACATGGTGTCTCAATAATGTTAAGGAAACAGCAGTTCTTATAAGACTGCAGTTACAGCTTGCCAACGAGTGCTGAGTAGTATGAAACCTATGTCAAAAATTTCCTGATGGCTTCCACCAATCACTTACCGTTTCAACATAGTAGACAGGATATCAGGTCATTGAGACCCGGTCGATGGATTTTGAAGGATACTAAAAGTACCAAACAAAAGTGACATTGGTAAATACTCAGTGATCAACCAATTGTAGATATCACGCAAGTTTTGTATGCGTTGTCTTGTTATGGTATGTATTTTAAATTTATGATTCCTATTACTTGTTGATAATATTGAAAATTTCTAGCATTGAAATATACAGAATATTTGTGCGTACTATGATTAACTCAAACTGATGAAACTAGAAGAAATTGTCAAATTGACCTTGTGTATTTAAAACCGACAGTAATAAATAGCTGAATTTCCCTAGGCTATTACCTTGTTTATGACTCTGGCAAAATAAAAACTTTTCAAATGCTTGTTTCACTTCTTTCAACCCTCAGATTAATTGTTGCAACTGTTCTGTATTAACATAATTTAGTATTATGGAACAAATTTGTTTGATATGTAAAGTAATTTACTGAGGGAATAACATTAGCCATTGTAAACTAGTTGCTAAAGGTATCCTGACACTATGATGAGAGTTCTATCCGACTTTCATGAATTCACAACAAGTATGGGACTGGCAAAGTATCGAAATGAGCTTAGAAAAACTGTCATATTGTGATGCAGTTTAATATGTTTTATCTAACATCTGCAGAATGTACATTAGAACGAAGTATTGTCGTTGGCTGTTTATTTATATTTTTCACTTTCATTAATTTTCGTGTTTCGTTGGAGTATTATTGATTTTGGAATAACAAACTTTATGTAAAGTTAATTAATTTATGTATTAAGACCAGGAAATAAATTATTTTGTTTTGACAGTATCGAGTGTATAATAAAGGAACTAAACTTTCTTAAGTGAAGACGAGATTTGAATTCGGAATTTAGTATTCAGAAAAGAAAAATGACGATGATACATGAATTGTTTGACTGTCTTTCTGAGCAATATTGGTAGATACAAACTATCTGCTTCAGTCCACCTGATAACTTCTATGAGTGGTGGAAGACTTTAGATGACATGGCTGTCGGGGGTCCAGATGAACTCAATCTTTACCTTCCTCTAGATCTTTGGTTTCGGTATCTTAACAAATGAATATACATGCTTTTCCTTGTCTTTTCGGACAATATTCTTAGTGTCTTCCTTGTCATCGCTGATGCTACATTATTTCCGTCTGTTTTACTATTCATCCCATTGTACCGATATGACTCGTCAAGTAGGGGTAACATCCATCTATCTCAGATTCTACGTTGATGATGTTTGTATATTTTATTTGGTGCACAAAACTGGGTAACAGTAAATACCAAATATAGTATGTGACTCAACATTGAAGAACAACGGAACAGGTGGGAAGAACACTTCAAAAAATCGACCAGCTCCACTGAACCCACCCAACATCAAAGTAGCACCCACAGACCTCTCAATCGATGTTGGCCTGTAGTGCCGTGCTTCACTAATCGTTCACCTCGATGACCGTTATAATACTAATCTCAACGGTGCATAAAATCAGAAGGCAAAGGGAAGCGGCAACTACAGTTTATTGTCAAGTGACGCAGGCCAGAAAGTTACAAGCACATGAGCAAATATCAGAAAGCAGTGAGCAGCAAGCGCAAGCAATTACATAGGCGATCGTGCACAGACCAAATCGCAACTCTACGGATCCTTATGGAACAATCAATTGAATGGAATTCATCGCTCTACATCAACTTCATTGATTTTGAGAAAACATTTGATGGCGTGGACAGGACAATACTATGGAGGCTTCTTCAACACTACGGCGTGCCTAAGAAGATAGTCAATATCATAGGGAAATCCTATGATGGATTAAACGGCAAAGTCGTGCACGGAGGACAACTCGCTGACTCGTTTGAGGTAAAGACCAGTGTCAGGCTAGGTTGCTTACTCTCACCCTTTCTCTTTCTCCTGGCGATCGACTGGGTCATGAAAAGTCAACATCTGGAGGGGAGTACGGGATACAGTGGACATCTAGGATGCAGCTGGACGATTTAGACTTCGCAGATGACCTGGCTCTTCTATCACACATGCAACAACAAATGTAGGAGAAGACGACAAATGTAGCAGCAGCCTCAGCAGCAGTTGGTCTCAATATAAACAAAGGGAAAAGCAAGACTCTCCGATACAATACAGCATGCACCAATCGAATTACACTTGTCGGAGAAGCTTTTGAGGATGTGGAAACTTTTGCATAACTGGGAAGCATCATCGATGAACACGGTGGATCTGATGCAGATGTGAAGACGCGGATCGTCAAAGCAAGAGCAGCATATTTACAACTGAAGAACATCTGGAACTCGAAACAACTGTCTGTCAACCAACAACAGGATCAGAATTTTCAATAAAAATGTCAAGACAGTTCTACTGTATGGGGCGAAAACTTGGAGAACTACGAAGGCCATCATACAAAAGATACAGGCGTTTATTAACAGTTGTCTACGCAAAATACTTCGGATCAGTTGGCCAGACACTATCGGCAACATTCTACTGTGTGAGAGAACAAACCAGATTCCAACCGGCTAAGGAAGGAATCAGGAAGAAGCGCTGGAAGTGGATAGGACACACATTGAGGAAAGCACCCAACTGTGTCACATGACAAGCCCTCACATGTAATCCTCAAGGTCAAAGGAGAAGAGGAAAACCAAGGAACACATTGCGCCGAGAAATGGAGACAGACATGAGAATAAACAACAACTCTGTAAAACTAGAAAGGAAAGCCCAAGACAGAGTGGGTTGGAGAATGCTGGACGGCGGCCTATGCTCCTTTGGGGGTAACAGGCGTAATTAAGTAATTAATAGTATGTGACACACAAAATAAAATTTGTGTACGAACTTATGTACTATCCAGGCACTCAAATTGAAGCAAATGGTGTTTTTAGGAGGCCATTAACTAACCCTTTGCTTTCAAGTTCTAATCCGCATGGCAAGAGACTAACGTCAGTCTCATGTAATCCTACGACCAAAAATATTCAATTCTCTTCCTCAGGTTCTTGAAGCCGATGTACACCAGCAGTTTCGAATCAGAGTTTTCCGAATCCATCAAATGGTACCTCCTTGTCTACTCACCCGGTTTCAACTCCAGAAGTTTGCTTTTCGCTTTGTCATTCTTGTAAATCACATCCCAGCTTCCAAAAGACAGAGAACAGGCTTATGTCGCCATACGAAATCAGCTAGATTATCATTATAAAACAAACTCACTGAACATTTGTTCGAAGAACTACTCAACAGTTTACATATCCACAGCTCAATACACAATTTCTAACTCTCAGTCTTTAGGTCTTATAGTGAATGTGATACTACTGGTGGAGATTATGGTCAGACTTTAGTGATCCATATTTTCACCTTTGTTGCTTTGTTACATAACTGTCTAATACTTCCTGGTTTTCAATGGTTATCACAAGTTGCTTCGTATCTGTCTTCCTTCCTGTACTATATCCTTATATACAACCTTTCTTTTATATATTAACACCACTAAATTAACTACTTCTATGAATTCGGTGTTGATCTTGTTGTGCTAACGAGGTGTGGCAGCTTGAACCTTTGCATATATGTGCCTGATCCTACGTTGTAGCTGACTGACTGACAAGTTGATATCAACTCTTGACAAAAACTGTCTTCAATTTCTACAAAACTACACTGAACAGCTAAATAAATAAAGAATTTGATTTTAAATTGTAACCAGATTTGTAGATCTGTCAATTTTGTTGTTTTGTTTAAATTTATCTAAATATCAATGAAGTTCTTTTCAGTTGAAGAATACCGTAAAAGATAGTGAGGTTTGACTGACACAACGTAATGTCGACGCTGATTAAACTGTTTTTGTTTCTTTTATTATTTATTCTTTGACTCTCTTGATCACACAATTTTACAATTTGTTTTAACTGAGACAATATCGTACGCTACTTGATTTCATATTAAACGTGAATAATTTGTCCTAATTGTGTTATTTATTGTCAATCTTTCTGTCTACTTTTTATTTAGGATTTGTTTTGCTTTAAAGATTTTCCATTAATTTTACCAGTCTAAATTGTAATATTGCCCTGTTCATGTTCGTTTTAAATAACGAATCATTCAGTCTAGCAATTTAAAAATTACCGTTTTTATGATTGAGGGTAAAATCATTTCATTTTGCAATTATAAATAGAGAATTATTTCTGGTTCTAAATCAGCAGGTTGCAAGTTTTTAATGCCGTCTTTAAGTGCTATCGCTAGCCTTAAAACATATAAAAAAGTTTAGTATAAAACTGAATACGTAAACTTGTGCTTAGTAAATGAACTACCTAATTTATTATTATTAAAGTTTCTACCTCTTCTGTTAATCCTTTGTGGATTGTTAAAACATTTGTCGAAACTCTGTTCAATTATATTTAATTTATCGTTTGCTATATTATTGCCCCCAAATGCCCCGGTACGGCCGAGAGTGGGGAGAGTCTGCTCTCCCTCTCGAAATGCTCTCACATGACGTCGCGTATATAGCCTCTGCAAGGGAAGTCCTACTTACTGCCTTCTCGTGACACCGGTGTTGTTTACGAAACTGAGAGGACGAAAAGCGAATGTCCGGCACTTTAACCGGGTCGGTGGACACGGAAAGTTCACCTAGAGGAGTTGGAAAACACTGATTCCAAACCAATGGTGCACATGGGCTCCAGTATCCTGAAGGAGAACAAATGGAGTATGAATCAATCGTTGGTCACCGGCTACTATGGGACTGTATCTCCTTGAGATGCTCCACTGCGTTGTGGATCAAACCTTTAAGTCGGAGGCTCCGGGTGTGGCCCCCTAAGAAAACCACCTGCTTCGATTTGGGCAGTCGGGCAGTATCACAGCCCTCACACAAATCAGATGAGATTTGTGAGGCGCATGTATATCTGGTGCCCTCCTGTACCAATATTTATGTGTTTAAATAAATAAATTGTTATATTATTACCAAAAAAGAGGTTAAGTTTTCTGCGTAGACTATAGATTTTAGTCTTTATTTGTCAAGTGTTTAGTTCTTTCCTACTTATCTTTTTTTGTAGATCGGATCTTTTAATTTCACCTTCAATTTTTATTGGAGGTAGTCTTGGATTTCTTTTATTTGGTATCTTTTTCGTAATATTCGCATTTTCAAGATTAGCACGTAATCTTCGTAAAGCATCTAATAAGTTATTTTACGAAACAAATGCCTCACCTGCTTTCCGTCAACCAATACAAGTAAGAATATATATATATATATATATATATATATAAGATTTCCCAACTAAATCTTTTCGAACTATGATCCATAGTTTTTACCAACTATATCAGTTAAAAATATCATCAGAAATTTTTATAGTTCTGTCAGTAGCTAGGCGGATAGTAAAGGTACTGGAAAAATTTCTTTCCAGTACAAAAGTGTGGTCAAAAGGTATACATAAATGACTCCGTTTATTAAGATCTTAAATTTGATGTTCGTCCTTAGCCATAGACTTTCTTTCTGTAGCTACGGTGCTCTAGGTACTCATGTACTTCACTTATCTGGCTAATGGAAACAGGTGATATTGCTAACAAATGGTATGATTCATTTCGTTTATTAGACTTCGTTTGATTTATTCTAAGGTCCAAAATGAGACAAAACTTTCTGAACGTCACTGCTAGGTACTATCTAATATATAGTCAAGTTTTAGTTACAAGCAACATTGAAGCATCCTCTCAGTTAGCTCGTATACCAATACAGAGTGATCAAACAAATTCCTAAGTATCAACTACAAGAAATTATCAAATCCCATTTATGAACAGCAAACAACCGATTTTAATAATTTAATATAATAAGTTGTATTTATCACACACTGATATGAGTTGAGTTAACACTGAAACCAGAAGGCACGGGAAAATTGTTTCGTTCTAGCGTGTGACTCTTGAACGGACTAGCCCCATTAAACCCACAGAACATTAACGCTACACACACAGACAATCCTTCAGATATCACCCCACGAACCATCGAAGAAATCAGGATGGTCATCAGACAAATCAAGATTGGGAAAGCAGCAGGACCAGACAACATACCAGCTAAATCACTGAAGTCAGACAAAGAAGCAACTAAAAACATACTCCATGTTGTATTCAGGAAGATTTCGAAGGAAGAACAGGTGCCGACGGACCGGAAAGAAGGATTCCTCGTCAAGATACCAAGAAAAGGAGATCTGAGTAAATATGAGAAGTACAGAGGTATCACACTGCTTTCAGTACCAGGAAATATTTTCAACAGTGTTGTTGAACCGGATCAAAAATTCAGTGGACGCTCATCAGGCTGGATGCCTTAGAGATCAGTCGTGCACAAACCAAATCACGATACTACGGATCAGTCAATTCAATGGAATTCGTCGCAGTATATAAACCTCCCTGACTGTGAGAAAGCCTTTGATAGTGTGGGTGGGAAGAACTTATGGTAACATCTTCGATACTGTTGTTTACCTGAGAAGATTGTTTACATCATCCGGAATTCATAAAAGGGAGTACACTGCAAATTGGTGCATGGCGAATAGCTGACAGATGCATCCCAAGTAAGGACCGGAGTCAGGCAAAGCTGCCATCCCTCCCCATTCCTCTTCTCTTTGGTGGTTAGCTGGATTATATCAACCTCTGTGTCTCAGAAGAAGCACAGGATATAATGGACAGCTTGAATGCAGCTATAAAATTTGGACTTCGCAGATGACATAGTCCTTCTATCACACACACGAACAAATGCAGATGAAGACAACAACTGTAGCATCAGCCTCTACATTAGTAGGCCTCAGCATACATAAGGGAAAAGGCAAGATCCTGAAATACGATACGGAGAACGCCAACCCAACAACAGTTGATAGAGAAGCTCTCTGGGAGAGGAGGATCTGACGCAGATGTAAAGGTAAGGATTGGCGAAGCAAGGACAGCATGTCTACTATTGAAGAACATATGGAACTCAAAACAACTGTCTACAAGCCAACATCAAAGTCATGATCTTCAATACGGACTTCAAGACAGTTCTATTGTACGGAACTAAAACATGGAGAACTACTACAGCGATCATCAAAAAGGTACAGGTATTTGTAAACAATTGTCTACTGAAGATACTCTATATCCATTGACTGGATAGTATCAGAAACAATCCACTGTGGCAGAGAAAAAACCAAATTCAAACTGTGAAAGAAATTAGGAAACGTCGCCGGAAGTGGATAGAACATATATTGAGTAAATCATCAAACTGGTTTACAAGGCAAGCTTTAACTTGGAATTCTGAAGAGAAGGGGAAAAGAAAATGGCCCAAGAATACATTGCGTCGGCAATTGAAAATAACTAGGCGAGCCCAAGACCATAGTTAACTGACGAATCCTGGTGGGTGGTCTGATTCTCTACGAGAGTTGACAGGAGTAAGTATTGAACTCCTGAGCAGTGTACACTTGCGACCGCACCAGATATGAAACCCATCAGCTTCAGATCACTGGGTGATGGCTTAACTAACGGTAGTACTACGTTGGTATCTAATGGTATAATTCCAACTTTGATCAATTCCAAACCGTTTTTAGTGGTACTTCAACTGAGATAAATCATTTTCGAATACAATCTGAGGATTGAAACTGATTGCATATCGTCTTAAAACTTCGAAATTCTACTCTTTTTGAATTCCTTTCTTTTGTTAATATTGTACAGAGATTTTATTTATTTATTTTAAATAAAGAATTTAGAGTTGAACACTTCATCTGATATACAATCGAATGAACTACCTAAGAAAGTGTTACTCTCTGGTGGTAGTCGACTAACTAAAGTTTCTTCTGAGAAATCTATCTATGAAAATCCATCCCAGAATACCAACGTTATTTCTAATAATAATCATTTGTTGATATCTGATAATTTCGAAGGCGAATCAATTAAAAAATTAGTTCGTCAACATAAGTCAAGACATTCTTATAAAATAAATAATAGCGGGAAGAAAAAGAGAAAAAATGAAAATTCAATACCAATCAAAGCTCGACCTGTACTATTGAAAAGGTGATCGTGGTTTGTACTGTCCTTTGTTTTTTAACTTTCTAATTTTGTAATTTGATTTGCACCAAATCGAAAATAACAATCAACAATGTGTACTATTGTGATTATTAAAAAATATACATAAGTTGTTTTCTTTAAGTAATAGTAAAAAATGGTAGTTTTTATATTATGGAATACGAGAACAAATATATTTACTTAATCAATTTACACATTAGATATTTTAGTGTATAAAAATTAAGTCACTCAGCCTGATCGTACGTACGTATAGACTCTAACTTATAACATCATTAGAAATGGTTTGAATTATCGGTTTGTTGATAATAACGAGAAAATTTCGATCAGTCCTTATTGGTACATGTGCGGTCTGCGCGGATTGCCTCTATATAGACATTATTACACAAGTTATTTAAAATAGATTGATTGTAACTAATAGTGGAATTCAGGATATATTTGGGAAACTTCAGTTGAATGTGCCCGTATCCCAGTTTTGATGGTCATATATAGGACTTTAATCCATTACCTCTCTCGTTGAACGCCAACACTTTGTCAATTGAGTTCAGTGGTTGCAAGTATATCAATTTGACAAGTAGGATGAAACATACCCATCGAGTTATACTGTTAGTCACCATTCTTGTGTTCTTGTTCTGATATTATTGTGATAGTATATTAAGTCCTTAACAAGGTGCTATGTTTGAAAAGGTTACGAGCTCACCTAATCTATGAACGGAACGAAGACTCAGTGACACGATGACTAGATCAGCTAACTATTCCGATGCTAACTAGAGAGAGAAGTTCAAGTTCAGAAGAGGGAAATATATTCCACAAGCAGCCAGAAACACGAACAACAACAACAAGCATAACTCAAGCGTATATATACAGCATAAAAATGTTCTTGGGAAGCGTTACAAAATAGCGTACCAAAAAAATACAAGGGGCCAATAGCGTTTAAGATCCTCCCAAGTGAGAAACACGACATGAAGGTGAAAATGGGTGCTTTTGGCTCAAGTTTTCAAAATATAATGGTTATGGGGATCTAACTTCCCCAACACACTGTCTTCACCTACATTTCCAACGTCACATCCTGACTGAAGTGAGGGTGTTAGTTTTTAGTTAATACATGCTGTGAAAAAGAGAACATTTCAGACCTAGCTTTTTTTATTGTACTAATTTTGCGATTTCTTACGAGAAATTTATAAAACTATTAGTTTATGATATTATTATGTACTTCGAATAGTCAATTATCCTTCGATTATCACTAGCCATTATTATACGTTTTACCGTTCTCATCAATCACAAGTCAGTTAGTAGACTCTAAATCAGTGGAGACTTATTGTTTGCAATGTAATGTGACTTTGTATTTTACTGACATAATACGATTGTTCACTAAGCTAATAATTTGCTATTCCGACTTCAGTAGGGATGAACTAGACTGTTTCCTTTTCCCTGTTATATAACTAAAGAAAGATGTCCAAGTTGATTTAGCAGCTATACTGAGAAACACTGAAAGTTAATTAGCTAACTTTCGAGTTCATACCACTATATACTAATTACTCTCAGCTTTTGTTATTTGAATAAGTAGTCAAACTAAATAAATACCTTTCGTATGAAAAATCACAGTAAAATATAGATTGTTAGTTAAGTTTACTATGTACGATAAGCCTACACCAATAGTTAAACAAGTAAATTGATTAATTATAAATTAATTACGCCAAATCCTCTCAACTTCATAAAATGTTATAAGTGGTTACAAAGCTTTAAAATAATGATTACGTGTGATTTGTGTTCGAATTTTAATAACTAACCTTCTACACTATAATCCCATTATCTGGCAATTAATAATTTATGGTTAGATAAAAAATGCTTGTCGGAACATACAACAAGACAGAATGGTCGAGTAAAAACATCTTTTTGCGGAGTTTATTCAGAAAGTTGAACTGAATTCGAATGATTTTTAAAATGAAAACCTACAACATTCATGCTAACAACGTTAATCTATTAAAAATAGTGTGAAAAGCAACCAAAGATGTCGTGTTAAGTTACTATAGTTAGGAAACTGTAAATGGGATCCTCAGATAACTGAAAGTTAAACAACAATGATATGAAGACTAAATCAAGTATAGCAGTTGGGGATTTTATGTGCTGAACCGTACTCCTACAAAATAAATGTGTATGAAGTTTCAAGTAGCAAGTGTAGTTTCTAGCCTTTTAAAATACTAAGATTATCCATTTTATGCAATTCTTCTCTGTGGTTACATCACACATCGCCGAAACATACATTTGCCTAATTCTTCATTATATCTTTCCGAGGTACAGTCATTCATAGAATAAAGGGATTTTGCTACATAACAACAATTAGAAACAGAAAGCATGTTTCACTGTGAAAAATATTTATTAAAATCAGGTTTATTGTGCATAGATTAGTTGGAACGATGTTGCGTTAAATGCTCCACATAATCGGTTCCTGAAATTAAAATGAAGTCTGTTTCATAGCGATATATATATATCATTGATGAATATTAGTAAAAAAACACCTTGAATAGTAAAGGAAACTGGATTTTTCTCAAGTTAAACTGATTATACATGCGTACATACTTTAATATACATGTTATGCGGGTAGATGAAAATATACAACTGTCCCTGTTGCTTGTCTAGTTCATTAACATTTATATTTCCAGATGTACAAAATCAGTCTGGGTTTTAGATACGTTCATTATTAAGAAGTCTGTGAACACGAAGATTCGATAAATGATCAGTAATATTACATTCCACGTAATTTTAAATTAATCTATGTATAAATACGAGTTGCTTCTCTTCAGAAAACGAATAACTTCAAGTCAAATATCAGAGAAGAAAACTTTTAGAGTAGGAAAGACTATTAGTAGCAAGGCTTTTTTGCTCATTGCCTAAAAACCGAAACACATGCGGTCAACAGCCGTTCACAAAATTCAGTGAAATCACGTTCAAACACAGCTCACTAGTGGGATTTATTTACAATTCAGTTAGAATTAACATCAATATTATAAAGTGTAAGACCGTGAGTCATAAGATATTGATCCGATATTTAATCTAGTGCATTTTTTGTAGCAATTTTCTGGCATTTAGGTACTATAGGGCTGCCAGCTTCAGGCAGCCGAGACTAAATTATAAGATAAAATTATCGTTGTATACACAATATATACCTGTGGCACAATTACCTTGATGGGAATTAACCTACCTGCTTTTATCTCTGGCGTCACTATCAATAGTTGTAAACTGTATGTCCCTCCAGCTCAATGGATCAGATTCAGGACGCCACTGAGTTAAAAAAGTTCCTTGCTCTTTGGGCCTAATAATTGCACTTTCAGACTTATATCTTGTGTTATTATCACTCAGAAAAATTTCGTTTTTACTAAGTTTTAAATTTCGAGAGGTATTTAGTTGTCGACCACTTTTCATGCTCACGGTAAGTTGTTGGTCTGATGTTAGTCTTGGTGGAGCCGACTGAACAACCGTATTCAACTGATAGTTCTGGTAAAACAGTAAAATTCGTAAACCGAAGTTACAATATTTATCAACATCTAATACATTTCTAACAAAAATCATACAATTTTCCTGAGCTACACTGATATAATACTTCATATTTTACAAAACTGATTAGCTAGTCCTTGTTTTCTTGAATATTTGAAATGAAAGCCTTTAGTTTTATTGTTTACTTTGCCGTGCTACTCAAAGATATTGCACAACTAGCCTACATTTTGGAAGTTAAGACAGTATCTTGATGTATTTTAATTAATTTTGCTCAGTTTAAGTGTCAGCCGTCAGAAGTGATTGAGAATAGAACAAAGCCTCAAATAAAAGTAAATAGTCTCAAACTGCTGCATATTGTAAGTGCCTGAAACAATAAAGATAATAAAAAAGACAAGTGAAAAGATAGTGGGACATCACAAACAGGTATAAGATAATATTAAGTCGGCTAAGATGAGTTAAAATCAAAAATATTATCCATACTTGTGAATGTTAGGGAACTAACTCTCAATCAACACAGCGTCTAATGACCCTTCGTTTGAGAGCCTAGTGTAGAGCCATCATAACCATTACCAGATTTAGTAATAATGATATTATATGTAAATATAAAATGTTTCGCATATTGGAAGAAAAAGTAAAAGTGGACGAGATACATCCTCTAAGTTGTTCAGTGAAAATATAAGCATTTAGCAATTGCTTTCAATTATTACATACTTGTGAGTGTTAAAAATGTTGAGATGGTCATTTTTTATTATTGCTCTTAAGAAATATTGATACAGAATATCCAGTAGTTCGACATACATCTTCAAAAGAACAAACCACAGTCATGTTTGCATAAAATGACTGTAGATTCCTAATAAAAATAAATTGTTCGCAGATATTAATAGTTCACATGTACTATGCTTTTCAACTATAGCATAGCCTTCAATGAAGCTCCAGGAGCCTGGTTGGTTTTGAAGCTAGAACATGTAAAACTCACATTTTCCTAATGTAATGGGCTAAAAAGTCATAGCGGTAGACGAAATATGGTAAGAATGATCTCTAAAACGTATCCCTTTAAATCTGTAAGCAACAGACTGACTCAATGCAAAGCCGAAACTTTGCTGTTTCTTATCTTTGGTAAGAAATATTGAACAAAATAAGCCCATAAATTCAATAAAAGAATCAAAACGTTTTATAAGGAAAAGTTCTTTTAAGATGATATGATTTTCTACAGCTGTACAATTGCATTTACGGGTAATTGTTACATGCAGTATTTTGTAGCAAAAAAAGAGAGGTATGACGATCATTGTACGGACCTATCTGATCTTCTTGTTAGTAGAATATTAGGAAAGTGGAGTTGTGAGTTCATCTTCTATTGCGAGCTTAATTGAATGGTGACAATTACTAAACATTTATAGTATTTTATTAAGGTCACTTTCTTCACCACAAGTGATAAAAGTATGGTCCATATATCTCCTATAGAAGTAAAAGTAACCGATTGTTGATTAAACGATGGTGCTTTTCAGGCTGACCATATAACAATCTAATAGAAGAGGACCCAACGGAGAACCCGCTGCAACACCATTTATTTGTCTATAGAGATCCCTGTTAGATTTAAATTGCATGTTGAAAGTGTCGTGTAGTAGTAGCTTTTTCAGGAAATGTTTTAGTACGCCAACTTTGCTAAGGTCAGTATAATCACATAAGGAAACAAATAATTTTGTAAGCGGAACATTGTAAATAGAGAAGTGACATCTAACGATGTCATTTTCTTTCCTGGTACACTAACGTCGTTTAATGAGTTCACGAAATCTAAGGAGTTTAAAATGCCGTGTTTGCAGATACGGTTTCTGAATGATTGTAGAATTTTCACCGTTTATATGGCTGTCACGTGGCAAGGAGAATCATCCACATTAATTATCGAATGAGGAAGAAAATCTCTTTCATGTACTTTCAAGAACCCATAAGATCGTGGGATAGAGGGACCCGATGGCTTTAAACGTTAAATTAGGTGGTCGTCGATGATTGAAGCTTCTTTGATCTTTTTCGGTACTATGATCAGCGCTAGTTCCATAATAGCCAGTGTCATCTTTTGCCGTTGGTTCTTTGGAAACTTCTTTGTATCAGCGAGTATTAATGACAAACAGTAGCACATGTACTATATGATTTATCAAGCGATGAATGCTAAGCGTTCAAAGAATATATCAATGCAGTTGTGAAGAAAAGCTCCAAATACTTCAGGATTAATGAAAAGTCTAAAACAAACAAGATTGAAATCCTGCTTTCCACAATCTCACAAAAGTACGTTTTTAATCATTCTGTTGCACACTTATCCACGTTCCAGATGGAAGCACAATTATTCAGTCCAAATTTTCGTGATAGTTCTACCAAAGTTGGTGAACTGCACACAAAAATACAATTTGGAAATCTCATCAGGTACACATGACTCAACACAAGTTTTTAATAATTACTTTGAAAAAACAATAATCACTAATTATTGTCATGAATACATCAGTTCTAAAAATTCAGAGAGGCAGTGCTATAAAGAGAACAAAAATATATCATAAATGCATGAGCAGTGTTTGAAATGGTTATCCTAAAGTTAAGAACCCTAAACATTTATACAACAACACGTTATATAGAGACATGTCTTCAGTAATAAGGATAGTAGGTTGATGAACCTGTGTTAATCCTGACAGATTTCCTTCCAGTGAAGGTCCAGCTTCTTTTTGAAAATGTTCACTGATGGTGCTGATACCACTTGTTCTGGTAAAGCGTTCCAGTCATTGACCACTCGATGAGAAAAACGGGACCCCACCTTTAGTTTATTAGATCGCGGTTTCAGAACCTTCTTGCTATGACCCCGGAGATTATTAGTGCTGGAGGGAGCAAAAAGGTAAGACATATTAACACCCAGATCATAATTAAAGATACGAAATGCCGGTATAAGGTCACCTCGCGTCCTACGATAAGATAAGGGGAAAAGATTTAGACGTTTTAAACGCTCATCGTAAGGGAGTTTGGAAAGACCCTCTACTAATTTTGTCCCTACACGCTGGACACGCTCAAGCGATTTAGTATCCGTTATCAGACAAGGGCTAGCTGCTTGGATACAGTATTCTAAGTGTGGCCTTACATAGGTGGGATATAAAATTCGAAACATATCCTCGTCAAAGCATTTAAATGCTCTGCGAAGCGACCATAGCGCTCGATAGCCTTTGGAAGCAACCGCATTGCAGTGCGTAGTAGTTTTTAAGTCGTGACTTATAATTACTCCTAAGTCTTTATGCGCATGAACGCGTGGCAGAGATGTACCATTAATGGTATAGTGGTAACTAATATCGTGCCCGATGTGCATGAACACGCTCTTCCTGGAATTAACTTCCAGGCCCCAATCATGAGCCCACCTAACTAATTCGTCTAAATCTGCTTGTAGATAACAACGATCAGTCTCATTTCTTATTGTTCTCCAGATTTTAACATCATCCGCAAACAATAACGTCGACGACTTAAGTAATAAAGGTAGTTCATTAATATACAGAAGGAAAAGTAAAGGGCCCAAGATGGTGCCTTGGGGTACACCACTTCTGACCGGTTTCCATTCGGATAGAGTTCCATTGACTCTCACTCTCTGTCTGCGGTCACATAAGAAGCTTCCTATCCATTCCTGTATAGCACCTGTTATACCAATGCTCGAGAGCTTTTGCATAAGACCTAAGTGTGAAACCTTATCAAACGCTTTGCTAAAATCTATAAATATCACGTCGACAGACTGGCCGTTGTCTAGGGCAGCTGTCCAATCCTCTCTCGCAATGAGTAAGTTAGTCAAGCATGAATGCTTGTTACGAAACCCATGTTGCTCGGGAGTTAACAGATTGTACGAATCTATGTGGCTCAGTAGCTTAGCCCGAATTAATTTTTCCAGTAACTTAACTACTATACTAGTCAGGCTAACAGGCCGGTAGTTAGATACGATCCGTCTCTGACCATCCTTAAATATAGGACTAACTATGGCGTCTTTCCAGTCTCTAGGTAGTTGAGCCTGTGAAAGGAACATGTTGAAGAGCATCGTGAGCGGTCTTGAGATAATGTCCGCAAGCGACGACAGCAAACGTGGGTGTAACCCATCGGGGCCCGGTATCTTACAAGGTTTTAGGTTAGTTATCAAAGGAAGAACTATATCCTCTGTCACGTGTAAAGGTCCTATGGCTGGTATCTCATTGTCAACGGGACAAGTAGTTGTAACACTACAGGTAGAGTAGACTTCACTGAAATAGTTAGCAAATAACTCCGCTTTCGCTAGATCAGATTCAGCCAATAAAGCTGAATTTTCGCTTAACAGTAATGAGGGGATACCATCACTACGTTTCGTCCGCCTTTTAACGTACGAAAACAGTCGCTTCGGACAGGTACGGCTATCGTATGCCAACTGTCGTTCGTAAGCCGTGCGGGATTTAGCTATGGTCTTTTTACATATATTCCGGATTTTTTGAGCAACAAAACATACAGAGCCAATGAGAATTTGGTTTCGAGCACCTTTTATAGGCAGCAGGGCTTAAGCGGGTGCACATTTTATGAAACCACTTCTTACAATCGTCACATTGCATCCCTTCTTCCACGGCGAATAAGCAATATGGCTGTCCACACTTGTGTACAGAACCGACCATCTTAGAATAAAGCAAAATGATAGGCAAGGTAGATATGTAAGATAAATCACAACCTTATCAAATAAACAAGCCTCAGTCGACCAAGAATGCTTTGATGCAGTAAATACACAAAAGCAGGATCAAAACACACAAATACAATGTCACGTTAACTGAAATAAATTCAATTAAAGTGTAAACGGTAGTTTTGATACGTAATTTACGATCAAAACAGTGAATTAAACTCAACGTGAAACAATACCACTGTCCTTTTAAATAGCGCGCTTTCAGCAGTCAAAACTTCAGAAAATGGAAGAAAAAATTATATTTTACTTTCCTTCTGGTTGAGATTTTTTTTCAAATGAATGAAATTGTTGATTTGAAGTGATATCTTATAACACAGATTTATACAGGTGACATTCGATTTGTATGACGCAAGATAAAGAATTCTACCAGTAAAAGAGATGAACACATGTACCTTCTCGGAAGTAAACTAATTAGGATAAGCTCACAAGAATTACTCGCAACTTAAATGCCACTTAGTGAAGAGTTATTCTTGTCATACGCATTTTTTCCCAAAAAAACTTACTGATTACATATCTACAAATATGAAACATACCGCATAATTAAATGATTATAATCATAGGTTATTGACAAACCTGTATATGCTCATTATCCCCAAAGGTGTCATAAGTAGGCTTTGACTTCCTCTTTTTGAGTCTGAAACTTTCATCTAGGGGCTTGTGTGTTTTTTTGTTTAAGGAAGATAATAACTTCTTATTCCATAGAATGTTTCTGATCTTCATATTTCGTTTGTGATCTACTTGACAGGCATCAATCGGAGAATATAGACTTGATCTTATATAAGACTCATTTCTGAGGACTCTATCAACTTCACAATTGACATTGAACAGCTCTCGGTCGGTTCGTTTCTAAAACTAACGTCGCCCTACTATAAAATATTACTTGAAGTTTTTTAAAAGTGTCTGCACATATTCGATCTTTGAGTTCACGAGACAAGTCAGCCAGTAGGCCAATATCCATAACGAGAGAATTCTCATTACATATCATTATAAAACAATTTAAAAGGGCTTGATGTAAAAGGTTCACAATTTAAAAAAGTGCCGTAAGTTGTCAATAGCGATGTACAATATTCAATAACAGAATCCTGAGGGCTTCAACCTACATTGGGTGAAGATAATTGATATATTGTTCTTTAATGTCCATAACTTTGGTGGGAGAAACACGCGTGTCTGCAATATCTGTAACTTTTAACGTTTAGTAGCTTCTATCTGATTTCAGATGTCGCCCCTCTAGTGATACTGTCTTCTAAGATGGTTGTTGGAGGTAGTCAACAAGTAACCCCGGACCTCAGTTTCACGATACTTGGTACTGGTCATCAAAGTGTACCTGTAATCTAGACGATATTGATGCTTCCTGAAGGATTCGATCCCGTGTCACCCAGCTTCACAGTCAGAGACATACCACTGAGCTATTCGGGCCGTGACTGACCTCCTGTGGGACTGAGATGTGTTTAAATTTGATTGATCACCGGCCGATAGGATTCTGCCTGCACTAAGAAGGATCTGACATTGATTACCACCTATTGATCAATCAATTGTAAATACTGTCTGTCATAGGACTAGGTAATAGAGATTTAGGTCTAGAGAAGGCGACTCAACAATGCAACTTTAAATGTTGACTGAAAGAGGTCTGAAGATCACCAAAGTAAACGAACCGTGTCGGATGATCAGAAGCTCATTCAAGTTAGACCAACCAGCTAACTTCGGAGTCATACCTCGCGGTTAGTACCTAGTGTGAACTACCCATTCGTTGTATCCAGATACTATGGATGCTTTGATGATCAAACAAAACAAATTGCGTTGTTACGGAAATATATTAGTAAGATCAGGTACAATAAACAGGGTGAAACCACCGCGCTGGACTGTCCATGGCTTGCAGTTCACTGATGCGCATCGGTTGTACTTGATCTTGACGAGGATCGATGAACTGTTCGATATTTCGTGACCCGATTGCCGAATGAATTAACAAAGGTCCGGTGTCATTTCGTCGACCCCACAGGTCATCCAGGCCATCTGAACTCTGTCTGGAAGTTGAAGGATCTTTACACTGAATAATTATGTTGCCGTATGCTGAAAGGCAGCATTTTCAAGATCCGTGAGGCTGAGGCCTCTTCCGACAACCAGCTTGTGGAACACACAAGCAATGTGGTACACCAGATCAAGTTAATAGATGCACTGATGAAACCGTACGGCTTTTAGGTTCTTGGAATACGCGGGACACAATGTGGCAGAAATGACTGACTTCATGAGAATTGTAATTTTTGCTAGTCAGTCGATTGTTTCGAGTTCCATATGTTCTTCAATGGTAGACATGCTGTCCTTGCTTCGCCAATCCTTACCTTTACATCTGCGTCAGATCCTCCTCTCCCGGAGAGCTTCTCTATCAACTGTTGTTGGGTTGGCGTTCTCCGTATCGTATTTCAGGATCTTGCCTCTTCCCTTATGTATGCTGAGGCCTACTAATGTAGAGGCTGATGCTACAGTTGTTGTCTTCATCTGCATTTGTTCGTGTGTGTGTGATAGAAGGACTATGTCATCTGCGAAGTCCAAATTTTATAGCTGCATTCAAGCTGTCCATTGTATTCCATTCATCTTCCAGATGTGGAGGTCATCATAGTCCAAATTATTTTTTACCAATGATCCGTGTTCTAGATATTTGTTCTGTACACGATCAGTCCTTGAGGATTTCGGTCTGTTGATCCTGGGGCTGAACGTCTACTGAATTTGTCATTCGATTTAACAAAACTCTTTGGCTAACGTTCCCTGTTACTGATAGTAGTTCGGTGACTCAGTAGTTCACACACTTACTCAGATCTCCTTTCTATGGTATCATGATGAGATATCCGTCTTTCCAGTCCGTCGGCACTTGTTCTTCTTTCCATTCGTGCATCTTTCAAAACAAAAAAGGGAAGTTTCGATGAATAGTGTTCACTGCTACGTACTCAAAAATGATGTGAATGTAAACGTTTAAGACCTTTTTTACCTATGCTACATTGTAAACGCTTAGGAAAGTATTTGACCATTCTAATGGCTGACTTTAGGACGAAGGTCCTATATATATATATATATTTATATATATATATATATGCATAAAAACTTTTAATAGAAACGAATACACAGAGCACTTCAGTTTCAGGAAATCATGTTATATGAATGCGCATAGATCATAAATGCACAAATCAAATATTTACAGGGGTTATGGAGGATGTGCTAACACATAAAGTAGGTTATATAGAATTATATATTTATCTGACGATGCCAAGCTAAAGTTAAAGAAGCGCTGCACAATCAGATCGGCAGGGCTAAATCCTTCCTTTCAGTTGCTAAATACCTTAGAAAATTCAGGATAGATGTCAACAACAAACTTCAAGCCTTACAGGATTCACTCAGAAAGAAGGAAACTACTATGGAAAACTACCGAACAAGAGCACAGAGAGTCATGGCAACGGCCGGATACACAAAAGCAATCAAGCAAGTAAAGAGAGGAATTTAAGTTGAGGAGCTAACATCTATCAGTGACAGTGGAGAAAGCTGTAAAGAATGAAATGCTAGAGAACAATATTCAGTAGTGAAATATAGTAAACCAGGGCTCAATCAGGTACAGAAAACACAAATCAGCAACTAAGGGTCAAGAGCGGCAAAACAGGTTAATAAGAGATTAATATGCCCCAATGAACCCACCGGATATTGGAGCAACACATATGGACCTTTCTATAGATGCTATCGCACCAACATCAGAAGATACTTACAAGGCTGCAGAACGAACTAATAATTGTAAAATTGCAGAACTAGATGAACATCAGCAGAAGCACTGAGGTCAGATGCTAAGGTAATTGCGAAGACATTATGTGATCCCTTCAGAGAGATTTCTAGAAGAAGAACAAGAACCAATAGACTGGATGGAGGAATAGCTCATGAATATTTATAAGAAAGAACACAGTAAATGTGAGAACTACATAATACAAAACGCAAGTGAAGTACCAGACAACAAAAATGATGTCGCTTCAGCAAATAAACTATATCGTTTTCTTTTTAGACGTTTGGACAGAAGATAGTTTAGAGGTGTACATAGAAAAATTTAAGGCCCACATTGAAGTAATGTGTGAAACTCAGAAAAAAAACTAAGTGATTCAATTATGTAGGTTAATGGCAATTTAGAGATTCAATTCAGTGGAAATCGCGGATTTATCCAACATATTCTAGTAGTTATGAAGAACCAAAATATGAGGAGTAAAAATGACCGTGTAAAAACATTAACACATCATACTGCGATATACGAAAAATAAGCGTTGTTATATACAAACTACTTATCATCTTGTACATACTATAAACGTTGTTAAGGCATGAGGCGCGTGAATGTGATTGTTGTTAAATTTTGCCAAACTATGATAAGTAGGAGTATTTGAATTATAAGATAAACCAGGAGTCTTAGAAATAATGCAATTTAATCAAGAAGTGCTAGATGAACACGAACGAATGTATTGTATTTGGAATTCAAAATCAAGTAGTCACCAAGTACAAAGAAATCATTGTTTCATATAAAAACCACATCCGCCGCAGCTTAAATTGCAGTCTAAGTGTCTTTAATCGATCGTACGTTTTCTTCTTAAGTTCATCTTACATCTGTCCGACAGCGTATTGGATCTAGACTCTGTATTATCTAGATTACACTCGTTAGTATTAGAATTAACAGCCGAAATTGGAACAGACTCACCTGATTCATGAAATTGTATACAAACATCATGTCGGTTGTGTAGTGAAACCACTGACATCTAGGATTCGCATCATAGGCTTTCCAACACTACCCCCCCCCCCACAAAATAATGTTGTGTCCTTACATCGCAATGTCATAACCAATTCGACGTTCTTAATTCACACTATCTTCTTGTATCTCACACCTTGATTATGATATGTGAGTATTTGGGGATACACACTGACGCGTAATTTGAGGCATTCCATCATGTGACTTTGACTTGCATAAAAACTATGATACATATTTTTTTTTTATTCATATTACAATACACAGATAGATATGCATTGATATATGTAATTAACACATGTGATTCATCCAGGCTTGATTCACCTGCGAAACAATCGAATGGAAAACATGCATCTGCCTCATACTCATTGGATAATCCTGAACATGATTTGAATTTTCTGCTTGTGAAGACTTCATATCTGGGAAAACTGGTTTTCTGATTGCTTCAGGAAAACTTGCTATTCCCTCTGATTCACCATACCTCTGACCAAGGATTCTACTCGACACACATAGGTTTGGAGAATATCCAACATCTGATACAATATCATGACAAATATAACTAGAATTTGACTCATCTGGAACATATTTGTCGCATTCATAAGGGATATCATTGGAGATAAATTCAGTGTGACGACGGATGACATTTGATATGACATCAGAATATGATTTTTCTGAAACATTTCCCTCAAACTTATTAGGAGTTTCATCAGAGGATTATGGATCATTAGAAAAATCACCATCTTCCAAAACTGAATCTGGTTTTCGATCATGATTTGACTCATTCAACATATTATTCTCAGAGTTGTAAGAAATTTCATCAGAAATATGTAATACATTATGACAAACCATATCTGGTACAATAAAACGAGAAATCCGATAAGAAGTTGGTGATTAGAAACTTTTGTACACAGTTATTCTGGGTTTCATTCAACTCTGGACTGCTATGTGACGTTATACTGCTTCTCGAAGTTTTGGATAAAGATAGGTGATCATTTAAATCAACCAACTTAGTAGGATCACAATAGCAAATTTTAGCATTAGCTAAATGAATCATGGTGTTGCAAACTGACTGAAAGTATCCAGTTTTATCACATTTAAAGCATTTAGAATTGCGAAATACATATGAATTACATGGGTGAAACTTGCCACAGAACAAGTATTTACCAAACTTGTGTTCATCTTCGTGAACTGTTTCACAATTTGATGAATTTTTATCTGAATAACCTTGAATACGTATTGGACTGCTACGACGTAGTGAAGCAGTGGAATTCCCGATATCCTGGCGACTGATTTCATTGAACTCTTTCCCTCTATCGCATTCGAAATTTGTATACTTTACATGGTCCATTAGAAGTTGCTTGAGAGTTTCACAAGGGAGTGAAAACGGCTCGTCTGGAAATGTCAAAGTCTTTATTAAGCTGTATGCTTCTTTACCGATGAATGTAAGGAAATGGGCATAGCCCAGATTTCGAACTTCTCCATGTAATCCTCAAAACCATTAAAATCTGAATGTATATGCAACCGTTCCATTGCAGGCTCCATCGCGACGCCAATGTGTTGATCTGAAGTATTTGGATTATAGTATGAACTAGTAATTCCAGCAATAACGCAATTTAATCAAGAAGTATTGGATGAGCACGAACGACTGTATTGTATTTGGAATTCGAAATCAAGTAGTCATAAAATATAAAGGAATCATTGTTTCATATAAATACCACACAAACATAAACTCAAGATATTTTATTAATCTCATAAAAATTCATAATTTATTCCTTGGGTTGATATTTAAAATTAGATATGTTGGATTAAACAAAACCGATTGGTTGAATGTTTCAGATATAATAATCTGACTCCAAATAGATTATAGTTTCTCGTACCTTTGTCGAAAACGTTATTGCTGACTCATTGATATAACATAGACTTTGGCTTAAGGTTAGACAGTGTGTGAAAACAACCTTAAAACTGATCTGTGGAATCCTTATGGACTTGCATCTAAAGATAAGAAACTGAGATGAACAGTGTTGATATAGAATTTCTCTCATTAATGATGCAGGGATAGGACAATAGCTACTTCTGAAAAATGCCACTTTAAAATTCGGTCTTGAACAAAAATAATGGATAAGATTACAAATTTCCAAATGATTTTGTAAAACAATTGCATCATTGTGACACTTTAGATCAAGTGATAACCAGGTAAATAAATAAGACAAATCAGTATTTCTTGAGGACACAAAATTTAGTAAAATATTTAGATCTCATATGTAGATCCGATCCAAATTTTGTAAATCCTTATTAAGTTGATTTTTAAAATGGTATGTCCCACTGAAATGATGTCTTTTTGAAGCTGGATGTGATAATTAATTTTCTCATTCATTTTCTTATAACACATAAACGTATTTCTTTTAAATTTGAGAGATGTGATTTAGTGTTGCAGGTTAATCACATAAGATATGCCGAATATGACTCAATTACGGGATTATTTATTGAAATTTACTTACGTTCCACTGTTGGTTGGGGTTTTGTAAATCTACCACAATTACTGTACGGTTCGAATTTGTTTTTTTAGTGTATGTTAATTGATTTGGCTAACGTATATTGTTGATCATGTTTAGTTCTATCAAAGTTCTGCATATTTCGCATTCATAAGTTGGCTGTGACCAGATTATAGAACGATAATGAGAGCATAAAAATTGGAAACACCTATTCTGTTTACTAAAGCTTTTAATATTTAGATATTGAAAGATCGCGTTATCGGAGATAATTGTAACTAATTTCGTACCCTGATTATTGAAGATTATTGGCTCGCGATTGTTAATCAATATATTCTTGCTCCTGTATGGTTGTCTTTTTTTGTCTCAGTAACTGCTGATGGGCTACACATTGTGTTTTAGCCTTAAAAGAACTAGTCAATTTGGGATCCAACAGTTGAACCATAGATGTTTCATGTTTCAGATGAATGAGGAGTTGATACCCTGCGAGGGACATCATCGGATTAACTTAAAATCTTTTTAGACAAGCGAGACAAATTTTCAATACGACCATGAAAATTTGAATGTTACACCAAAACCAGTCAAGTGTCATTTCATTTAACCTGAATTTGAAGCATTTATGAATAACTATACTGGTATATGAGAATTAGTTATCTCAAGTTTGAACAATTGGAAACAATAATATCAAATATGAAATAAAAATAATCTCTTACTTACAATTTAAGACAATCCAATCATTACATCATCAAAGTGCAACCATGAGAATCTTTTAGAACAATAAAATAAACATATCTGTTGCGACTTACGGTAAAAAAGTTTCTCGATGGTAGATGAACTTTTATTGCATCATAAAAATTATAAAATTATCGAGTAAAACATTTCGATTAAATCATGAATTAAACGAAAGGCCAGACAATTGATTGTAATCAATGTTATACCGATATGCTAGAGCTTTTGTTGTAAGAAATTCATGTCAAGACCTTGATAACTTCTATTCCGTTTTAAGCCTACAATATTTTTAAAGAGTATGGTAACAACGGTAAGGAAATCACTTTATGTACAGAGTAGACAAACACGAATATAGAAATAAACCATTTAGTCTGCCTCTAAAATGGATTATTATTTGTAGAAATGGGAGGTGGCTGGCAGTGGAATTCAGGACGCGCGTTTAATACTCTTTGGGACTCGTCAGCTAGATGTACCTGCACCACAGAGTTGATGTTCACTCCACAGTATCGGAGCGATCGGCACAGGATGCACATATACAAATAAGAGACTGATCAACTGCAATCACAAACATCAATTGGTAGGTTCAAACAACCAATACAAATGAATTAAGAATCGTTATTATTTTCAAAAACACACCTCATATACATTTTCGGTAAATACGAAGTTACGATTGTGTTGTGGGCTACTTATATCCACACAAGTAGTATATTAACGATGGTTGGGCATCGAATGTATTTCAGTAGAGGATCGATAACGAAAGAACGGGAAGGGGATGCAGTTGGTATGAAAATGCATGAGCAAAAATAATCGGAGACTATGGAGTGATATTTGCAGAAGAAACGGTCAAGATCGAGACAATTGATTGGTAATTTGCAAATTATAGTTGAAAGCGTGAGTCAACTGAAGCTAGACCACCACGGAAAACCTGGAAACACTGGACGGCCGTTTCGTCCTATTATGGGACTCCTCAGTTGAAGTTAGACATTAACACCGTTGGATGCCAGCTCAGTGGTCTATCGGTTAAGGGCTTCGGCTCGAGACTGGTAGGTCCTGGGTTCGAATCTCGCGAGAGCGGGTTCGTGGATGCGCACTGATGAGGAGCCCCATAGTAGGACGAAACGGCCGTCCAGTGTTTCCAGGTTTTCCATGGTGGTCTAGCTTCAATTGACTCACGCTTTCAACTATAATAAATACTAAATCTCCACAAAACCCCTTCTATAATTTGCAAATTAACTGTTTACTATATGGTTGTCAGATTGTGGTGAGATAGTCTGTAATTTTATGCTCACATACATTCGATTTTCCCCAATCATCTTCTTGATCACTGCACGACCATTAAATAGTTGAATGGAATTAGTCGAGTAAATAATTGAAATAAATTATTATGTAGCAATCAGACCTAAAATTCAATTTAGTAAAGTCCACGAATTGGTTAACAGCTAAAATATTGATACAGACTTATTCCATTTCTAAAGTTATTTTCTGTTTTCTACAGACTATCCAATTATTTCATCATGGGAAACTACGTCTAAGTTTGAGATGAAGATAAACAGTTACTGGTGAAGAGTTTTATTATTATCCGTCAAATAACCTATTAAAAAAACAATTTTTTGTCAATATTTATTGCTTGTAAGGAGCTTATCAGTGACCTGATATTAGTGTATTGTTCATTTTCGAAATAAAACACTACATTAGACTTCAAACTAATTGGAAGGTATATCTGAATATCAGTAGAGAAGAACAATAGACTAACGGATGAATCAACAATCGATTTGACCAACGGATGTTACCAACATAAACAACAATAACGTGAAGTTATTGTTAACAATGACAATTAGCATGAAATTTGATATTCTTGATAAAAAGAACAAGATAAATAGAAATGTACATAAATATAAATAAATAATCTAAACCTAAGATTTTAAATTCCAATAGCGATCACTATTGTAGTAGTTCCGTACAAGATTATATATACATAATATTGATCAGACAGTTAGGAATTTTCATAATGTAGATAATTAAAATCTTTTATAAACACTTTTAAATTAGAAGCAATTTATATATGTTTCAGAAGGGGTTTTTGTGGAGATTTAGTATTTTCATAGTTGAAAGCATGAGTCAGTTGAAGCTAGACCATCTAGGTAAACCTAGAAGCACTGGGCGGCCGTTTCGTCCTGGGTTCGAATCTCGCGAGGTGAGGTCGTGGATGCGCACTGCTGAGGAGTCCCACGATAGGACTAAACGGCCATCCAGTGCTTCTAGGTTTACCTTGGTGGTCTCACTTTAATTGACTTATGCTTTCAATTATCTATGTTTGTTTATGATGATGATGATGATGATGATGATGATGATGATGATGATGATGATGATGATGATGATGATGATGATGATGATGATGATGATGATGATGATGATGATGATGATGATGATGATGATGATGATGATGATGATGATGATGATGATGATGATGATGATGATGATGATGATGATGATGATGATGATGATGATGATGATGATGATGATGATGATGATGATGATGATGATGATGATGGACTTAATTTATCTATTAAGTTTGAAGTAGTAATCCAATGAATTAATATGTAAGTAAAAAGAAATAAAGAAGGAAGTATTCATGATAATAAGAGCTAATTATGAATAGAATTTTCTTTTTCTAGAACTTTAAAATACATTTGACTTAGAATAATGCGGATCAATGATACATGTACTTTGAATTTAGATAATTATTGTTTTAAAATGAATTCACTACTATATATATATATATATATATATATATATATATATATATATATATATAAACTAACATTTAAAACAACAACAACCGGTAATTAAAAATTGTTTACAATAAAAAGTTTAAAATGATTTTTTTGAATTTTAAAATTATAATTAGTCAAATCATTTAAAGTAATTGAACAATTAATGTGGTTAAACGATATTCAAGTCATAAACCTGTTCACATTTTATAAAAGAATATTTTTTTGAGAAAATTGATTGTAACCTCAAGGATGTGTTATATACAATATGATAGCTAGTGGGAGGCGAAATCCGACTCACACGTCCTCCTCACGCCTCCTGGATCATGATAACCACCCCATGTACTAACGTGAGCGGTAATGTGGGTGGTGGAGATCGGCTTAATCAACCACTCTACCTATACCCGCAAATGATTACGACTGCTACAAAGAGTCATTGCATAACTATTGACGGTTCAAAAAGATGGTAAAAATGAGCCTGCTCCCCCCCCCAAAAAAAAGCCGAATGAGAGTGTTATGTAATGGTTCTGCGTAAGCAGTGAAAAAACAACTATCCCGCCCCGGTAGTTGTGCCGTGTTTCGATATAGCACTCTTCTCCAGAAGGGCTTACTAGGTTTCATCAAGTTCCTCCTTCCTTCCTTCTCTTTTAATTAATATAAAAATTCAATGTCATCTAATCTATAATTATTCAGGCAATAGAATTTTAAATATGAAACAGTAAAACTTTTATTTCAATATTTAATTTCTAATATGTTATTAGTTACTACATAAGTAAACAATTATCATTTATCTAATAAGTTTATTATAACTAAGGAAACTACTAAAGAGTAGTATTGAATGTTTTATTGTTATATGGTATACCGAAATGTTCAGTATTTTATGAGAGATTAGATATATAAAGCACAATAATGTTTATATAGATGAAATTGATATTTAGTTGTTATTTGAATTTTACTGTCATTAAATTAATAAAAAATTTATACAATATGAATTATTTCTTGTTTTTTATTGGTTTGTTTAATTAAAATTTTATATTAAAAAGGTATGAATGATTGCATCAATTTAATTGTATTCTATTTTATAAACATATATGAAAATCTTTTTTTGGTTAGCGTTTTATTATTGAGTTGGTTTTCTACGGGATGGGGTCGATAACCTCATGCCCAACCCTCCTCTTTTGCTCGAACTTGGGACCGGCAGTAGCCCCCGAAGGAGCTACAGGCGGACGTGGATAGGTCATACATTTATGAAATCACCCAACTGCGTCACAAGGCAAGCCCTCACATGGAATCCTGAAGGCCAAGTGAGAAGAGGAACAGCAAAGAACACATTACGCCGAGCAATGGAGACAGACATGAGAAGAATGAACAAAAGTTGGATAGAACTAGAAAGGAAGGACCAGGACAGAGTGGGTTGGAGAATGCTGGTGGGCGGCCTATGCTCCATTGGGAGTAACAGGCGTAAGTAAGTAAGTAATATGAAGATCTCTAAATCTATTGTTTAGTGAAAAAAAAATTAATTTCACTCAGAAAATTGATTTTGATTGACAAGTTTTTTTGAATAAGCATTATCGTTTCTTTTCATTCTGAAAATAAAATTTAATAAGATGACATATCCCAGCTAGTTTCCGAGTCTGTAGAGATTGATGAGAGATAAATTTATTTCAGTTAACGAGCTAATGATAATCAACACAAAGCTTAGCAAATATTTACTTTTGCTTACGTTCCCATATAATATTAGCAAAATGAGATGTAACTGATAAGGGGGATAGCGAACGAACTGAAATGGCTGCGTAGCAATAAGAAAGACTGAATATTGAGAATATACTTCAAAAAGAAAGAGAGAAAAAAAAGGTGTGAATGAAGGAATACTGGAATACAATATCTAGAGAAAGATAAATAGTAACTGTAACTACACCATTCGAACCGATACTGAGCTGTGTGACCCAATATCCCCAACAGCTAATCGTGGTTATCACAAAGACTCTGTTGAGCTAGCCGGGATCTATTAACATGTCATACAGTAACAGTCTATGAATTTATGTTTTTATCTAACGATCTCAAGATTTCTTCCAACTTCATTACAACTTTCACGTCTTCAAATCACAGAAGGGTGTTTTGTGGAGATTTTAGTAATTTTATAGTTGAAATCATCAGTCAATTGAAGCAGTGACCAGTGGAGTTCAACCGGGTCTGTTGGGAGATATCAACTCACTGAAAACAATAGTGGACTATTGCTCAATTTTGTGGATTGGTTGAAGTTAGACATTAACACCGTTGGATGCCGGCTCAGTGGTCTAGGTGTTAAGCGCTCGCGCGTGACACTGATAAGTTCTGGGTTCGAGTCTCACGAGACGGAATCGTGGGTCCTTACGGCTGAGGAGTCTCATAATAGCACGAAACGGCCGTCCAGTGCTTCCAGATTTTTCATAGTGGTCTAGCTTCAATTAACTCATCATTTCAACTATATTATTTAAATGTATTAATGTTATTTCACTCCTTAAATTGCATACAAATTTGTCTATCAAATTACTTCATTAAGAATAATTATAATCTGTAATCAACATCATTCAGTGTCATTAAGTTAAAGATTGAAGTTTTTTCGAATGGATCAGATTTCATTACTAGTATTCAAGTTATTTTAAAGTACAGTTCCTGGGCAACTGAATAAGTATTATTAATTATAAGAACTTAACATAGTAAACATTGGTTGGAGTTAGATATAAACACCATCGGATGCCGGCTCAGTGGTCTATTAGTTAAGTGCTCTCTCGCGAGACTGGTAGGTCTTGGGTTCAAATCTCGCGCGGCGAGGTTGTGGATGCGCACTGCTGAGGAGTCCCACAATAGGACGAAACGGCCGTCCAGCGTTTCCAGGTTTTCCTTGGTGATCTGGCTTCAACTGACTCATGCTTTCAACTATAGAAATACTAAATCTCCACAAAACCCCTTCTGATATTAAACATGTTCTATGTGAATGTATTATCATAAAAACATTCAATCATCGATATATTTTGTGACAGTTACTTGATTTGTTTGTTCATTTTAACTTTGAAATATCGATCTAGTCTAATAGGATAGACTGAGGCATTGGGAAATTAATAGTCTTAAATATCTGCATATTTCATTGACAGTTAACTAATTTTTAATAACACTACAATACGTGTTAATGTAATTAAATGAGTACAGAAATAGAATTTAGATTCTGTAATAATTTGTGGACAGTTGTATGAAAGAGTAGTTTATTAATAAGTGCAAAATAAGATCCCAGAACTGTCAGACATTCAATTGTGATTCAGCAAGATATTGAGTTATTAAGATTAGTCTTTACTTTCAGTTCTTTGGTCAAGGAATTATTATCAGTAATGAAAAGTCATAATGTTGTTTTTTAAGGCATTCAGTTAATGTTTTGTGTTAAAAAGTAGTTAGTGTTATATATTCTTTGATAGGCAAAAATCTTTTGTGATGTATCCTGTGGAAAACTAGAAGTTTAAAAAATCTTTAGTTTTACTGGTGAATATTTTGAAAAATGGTTGAATTATTCAAAAATCTCATAACTAAAAACTGGGTTTATAATCATCAGTATAGGGTAGTGGGGGTCGTTGAATTACACTGAAATCATGAGCCGACCAATGTTAGACCGTCATTGAAAGCCTGGAAGCCCAAGACCCCCGTCTCACCCTAGTAAAGGATGCTCAATGTTGTGGATTGATTGAAGTCGGACATTAACACCACTGTGGGCTAGGTCAATGGTCTATAGGTTGAGAGTTCGATCATGAGACCAAATGTTATGGGTTCGATTTCCACGTACGTGGTAGCGAATCTACACTGCTGGTGAGCCCCACAATTGGACGAAACGACTGTGAAGAGCTTCCAGGTTTTCAGTGATAGTATAACATTGATTGGTTTATGATTTCAGTGAATCTATAATGTTTCACATGCTAATATTTACGGCATGTAACATTGGGTAAACAAATATCCAGTCATAATATCACGTAGACATTTTTTCTGGAAAAAAAATGTCAAAAACAATTAACCCTATTGAAACTTTGACAGATAGTGTATATGCTTTTCTTCTGAAAATAATTATTCTTATATTTATGACTAATAGTTTACAATCAATCGCTTGTTATTTGTAAACACTGTCTAAGAATTTACAAACAATTTTAGTGAAAGTAGCTTATTTAGTGACAATCTTCATAGTTAGAAAAAGAAGATTAAACAACGTAAATCTGATTTTTACTGAATGAAAATAACGTTAATTAATTTTGTCCGGTCTAAGTGTTAATTTTAAAACAATAGGTAAATATATTACTGTTGAATATAAGTAGTATGATATCACTTATATTAAGTAATATCAGTACAATGAAAAATTCCAGCAGCAGATGAATCTGTTTATAGCTGAGGTAAACTCTTAATTTGGATAAACTATGGTGTTACGAATAACATGATTTACAATGTCGCTTTTCCAGCATGTATCTAGACTGGTTGGGTTTCAGTGAAAATCCGATTGGAACAATAATTAGATATTTGAGAGCATGTGTAGTTAAGAATGTACCTATTTATACATTGCAGCTTGTAAACGTTTCATACAGCACATCAACTGATATTTAATCATTTCATAAAGTGATAAAAAAAGAACACAGAGAAGAAAAACAAAAGCTCATAAAAAATTGTTTTGCTTTTTTCGTTTTTTAGGATCTCAATGAAAATATTCATAAATAAAATTGTGAAGGCTCAGTAGTCGAAAGGATGACTTTGTTATGTAATTTCACATAAACTTTCTGTTGACTATAACACGAATGGACTTTCTTCAACTTGAGAATGGTTCACAATAAACATCGACAAAACAAACTGATTACTGATGTATAATTTTATTGTCATTTAAGTTTATATTGAAGATGAACAGCTTTCTCCTGCAATTTTGAACTCGAAAAGTTTCAATTATAGAAGACTCTTGCTGAGACATAGTCTCAATCCCATTCACAAATAATTTATCAGCATTCGAAAAATTACTCGACCTATATGAGATTTGAATTGTTTATAACAGTTGATTAAACACCGATTAATAACTCAAGGGATGAAAGTGAACATCTCGTGTGTGATGCTCTTTCTTCAGTTGTCCAGTATTTCTTTGGCTTTGGGTTCATCTAGGCTAACGTAAACTGATAATCTGAATCTCTTTATTCTTACGCCTGAATCTTTTTGTGATGTAAATATGGTCAGTCTGGTTCTCTGTGATCCAGTGAGACCCATGTAGCTTGGTGTATTCGTCTGTGGGAAATATAGTACCACCTATAACCATTTCGCTGATGACACATAAGTCGGCAAATCCCTCGCCACAGTCGTTCTTTTCTTCCAGTCTATGTCTAACAATGATATCTTCGTACCCGGTGTTGTCCATTCTGGCCCTGGCGTTTAGGTCTGTAGTACCAGTTCATATGTTAGGCCCATATACTTTATTCTAGTTACTGGCCAAGCCAATTCACCTGTACATTGAGTCATCTTTTGATCTTGTTAATCATTTGCTTATTAACCTTGAGTACTTTTTATATGAGCGCATATGTGTACACTTCGTATCTTATTTATCATATGTCTGTCACTCATTTTTGCCTGCCTAT